CAATTATGACAAATCACGGCTTGAACTATCTTGCTTTGCATGTAATGAGTCTATCTCATATATTAGTTTCACCTTTTTAAGTTGCATTACTGAAATAAATGAACTTTTGCACGATATTCTAATTTTTCGAGTTTGACCTGTATATCTTAAAAGATCTAACTATACTAAATCTGAATGTTGCCTTGTTTCTCTTAAAGTGGTTGCAAACCATTACATATACCCAGTGAAATGACTGGCCTCAGCTGATACTCAGCTGAAACAAATCCTCCTACACAAGCTGTACCTGTTCACCTACCATCCTTTCAAAGTGCTGAATTTATAAAGCCTGTCTGAGCTGTCAGAAAAAGAGGGCAGAGAGCTGAAACTGTGCACTGCAGAGCTCAGTGAGGAGAGCTCTGAGAACTGATTGGAGGGAAGAGGCACAACCCCTTCACACAGCTCCCAGGAACAGAGCTGAGGCTGTCAATCTGCTGTCACCATTTTTCCCTTGGTGTCAGGAAAACTTGGCAGAAGTGACTCATGCTGATAGCAGAGGAAAGAGACCGCAGACAGAAATGCCACTTAATGCTCTTGATTGAGACAAGTACACCCTGTAGAGGGATATGTTTTGTTCATATTTCATTTCAAGATTTCATGTTGTCTGAGGTTTACAACCACTTTAATTGTACTTAATTGTACTGTGCACATCTTTCCTAATCATCTTGAATTAGTGTGATTATATACTGTATGTTTGTGTGTGTTTTTGCATTCTGTTTTATTTGTAACAATGTTGTTTGAATGTTAGATCAATGTTTACCACTGTAGCCTTGCAGTGCAAAGGTCTTGGGTTTAGATTCAATCCAGTACCCTCTAGAGTGAAATTCCATTCCCTCCCACAACTGATACATTTGATGCATGTTTGATCTGTTTTTACCCAGCATGGATTTTCTCTGACTGATGGAGTCAATAAATGACAAGCTCCTTTGCCTTTATACCAACCCTCTTTCCAGATAGACCTGTGACATTACATTTTTCGGTGGTAATAGAGGTTGTAAAATGCATGTCCTGCAGTTGGGTAGTCAGTCGTTTAACCATTGGTAGCACTGCCTTGCACTAGCCTCCTGTGTGACAGAGATCACTAGTCTGTTTTGTGCAAGAAAGTAATCTTTATCTGCGGCCTCATTTGCCATTAGCGCATTTAATGGTTACTGTTTAAGCACAGATCCACTTTAAATAAATGTCATCATATAAATGATCAGATTAGGCTTGCGGCTTTTTAATCTGTATGTATTTAACAAAAGTAATGATTTCAAAACAGAGGTTGAACAGTCTGCCTTTTTTAGTTGTTTTAACTGCACAAGAGCAGTGACAGATGGGCTCCTCTAAACTTCTTTATAAGCAATTTTACAGCTCTGTGGGGATAAAGAGCCACCTTCGCTCTAAGCGACTGCAACTTGTGTTTTCCACGAGTCATGTGGAAAAGGTGTGAGGACAAATGAGGCATAAATTCTCTAAGAGTTCTGCCCTCTGGACTATTAGTACATATATGCAAGCAGATGGGATCACCAAGATCCACTTCATGCGCTGACAAAGACAGGATTCTCCCCAAAATGTCGGCCTCCTCCTCTCTCCTTATGGTTTTTTTTCTCTTCTTTGTGAGGCTGTTGTGGAGCCTAAGAACCCATCGACTCTTCACAAACATTCCCAGGCTGGTTTGCTCACCCTGCTGGTGGCACACCAAATGGTTGAGACCATTTGGCTTAAGACAAGCAGATGGTAGCTGAAATTTGTATGCTAAATTTCATTTTTGTCTTTGTTATGTCAGAGTTAATTTTCTTATTACTTTGCCTCCTGTGACCTAAGGATTTTTATAGGTGAAGAAGTGGTGACATTTTGCAGGTTAGACATGTCTTAGTTAGATTGTCAGATTTTGGGGAATAAGTTGATGAAATCTTGATGCTCTTGAGAGTGTACCAACATAGACGTCATACAAACAATTTGTACATGTATTTATATAAAGTGTGAAATTTATAAAGTGTTTTTTTATAAAAGGCTAGCATTCATTTAGCTGTTGATGTTCTAAATACCATATTTTTAGACAGGTTTTTCCACACAGCAGACCCTTAAATCTTATCAACCACCAAATCTTTGGCTACGTTTATTGGAGACCCTATTTGACCTCTTAAGGTCAAAGAGACATCGCTGGGCCCCTTTACCCTAATTGCCTGAGAGTGGGATGTCATTCTGTGTTTTGCTTGGTTTTGATTTTGTTGACTTTTCATTTTTGTAAAGCACTGCAAGCAGTGATCCAGATAAGAATTATTTGGGCGTCTTGTGGGGGCAGCACACTCCTAGAAAGTCTCCCTTTAATGCGATAATTTGCAAGGTCCTGTCTTTTGCTGTGCTGGGCAACGTGCAGGAAACAGGTGGCAACATCGGGTCACACTTCTGCATCCCACCAAGGGCCCCCCACACCCCCGTCCGCTTACAAAAGGCATAAAGAGTTTTGAGAAGCCATTTCATGCCTTTTAGGTCAAACTCTGAAATTACATTACAGGATTAGCAGCTGTAAGCGTTCAGTCGCTTAGGGAAATGTCCTTCCTAAATAATGCACTAAACCCAGATTTTACATCTAGAAGGAATTCTAGCCTCAGTTGAATTGGAGGAAGTAAAATGGGCTTATGTTGTAAAGCAAAACAGTTTGCAAAATGCGGAAGTCATCATTGACTTATCAGACTGCAGGTAACTGGAATCTGGTATCTGTGGTTACTGTGCTTTATCACTGCGCTAAGGTAATATGTTAAAGAGGACCTCCAGGATATACAAAATTAAGGCAGTGCTATATAGATCTACAAATAAAGTCAATTTGTTTTATCAATTCTTCTCCAGATGGGAGGGGCTCATAATATGCACATTAGATCATCTCTGAAGCCAGAAACAAAAAATAGTTCTGCTTTATGATCATTAGCTGTCAAAGGGAAGTATGGGATGTTTCTGTCATGGCAGGTCTCCTTTAATTATTGTGTTTTTAAATGTATACAGTGCTGAAAGTCTAATTCTCTTTGTCATCTTTTTTTTATAGATGCCTCAGTTCCTTCATTGGAGATCGCTGCCAATTCCCCAATCCCTGCTCTAGCAGTCCTTGTCTGAATGGAGGAACCTGCAATGCTGAAATCCAAGGTGGCTTTGCCCATTTCACCTGCAACTGCCCACTGGGATACCAAGACGCACGCTGCCTTACCCGCAAGGACAATGCATGCCTCAGCAGCCCTTGTCGCAATGGTGGAACCTGTGAGCTGGTCATCAATGAGAAGAATTATAGGTGCAGATGCCCTCCAGGGTGGACAGGTATGGAAAGAAGAAAAAATGTTGATTCAAATACCCTGCCTTCAGTTACTTGTAGTTAGAAACTGGGTTCTCAATAAGGGGGCAAAAGTGAGTGGGAAAGATGTAGGGGGTTTTTTTCTGTGTTTTTTTTTTTTTTTTTCCCTACCATTTTCCTTTTCTTCCTTTCACTTTGATACATGTACAAGAAATTGAAGATGCGGGAAGACGTTTTCAGAAGTTCTAAACCTTCCCTCAACTAAATGTTATTTTTTTTCTGTCCTTGATGTAGAGATGTTCAGTTTTTCCTACACTGACTGCAAAGAAGGGAAACCTGCCCAATAGGTATAGAAGTAGCCATTAGACCAGACAGACAGAGGCTGTAACTCCTCCCTACTCTATCCAAAACTAGAAAAGTTTTGGCTGGAGTTAGTCTTCAAAGACATCACGAGGGGTTAGATCATTACAGCAGTTATACATTCACAAATATGCACAGCTCCAGGCTTCGTCTTGAAAGTCCTGAATGAGAGGGAAGCATGGATGTGAAAGTAGTGCTGAGGTCTGAGACCTGTGGTGCTTACATCTTAGTATGCATGGACGTACAGTAGGAGCTGTGCTACCACCTGCTATATTTAAAAGAACAGATTTGACCGCTGTAGAATTCATAAAGATTGTGGGGCGGTTATTTTCAGTCAACAGAATGTATACCTTCTGTAGTACTGATGAGGGGGGTTTTTTGTGCTCAGGGTTTACCTCTTAATCTCCAGAAGTTTTCTTCCCAGTGCCTCCAACCATAAGGCAGTCCCTCTCACCATGGGTGGGGGGAGGTGCCTAGGCAATTGATGTGTTACAGAAATTTGGACTTTATATAAGAATTGTGCAGAATACAACTGTTGGGAGAGGTTGGGAGTGAAGACAGGTACCACCTTGTACTATGGAAAAAATATGGTCTTTTGTCCAAACTTTTCACTATATAATTGAGAGTATCAGCACATTGAGCTGCCAATGTAAATTGTTCCCCCTTGTGTGTGAATCCACCACTTAACTAAGTTGTAAAATATTTATCTGTGCTGATTCAGCCCAGTAGATTGGAACATTAAGTTCTTATTCATACTGCAATCCTGCATTCAGTGTGCAGTTCCACATATTACATTCGTTTGTGGTGCTTTTTTCTGCATATCTTTTTCTTTTTTTTTGTCTTTCAATACAAAAATGAAACATCCCCTCGCGTTAATCTGTGTTTTATTGCTTTTACATGGGTTTGTTCATGTTCCCAATGTGAAAGCATTGATACTGAGCACAATGGTGTGTATTAGGGTGATTATAAAGTAGCGATTTTACTGTACATGTGTTCAGGATGCCGTAAACAAAAAGCACCCAAATATATGTGATGTGAATGTCCAGCATTTTTTACTTTTATAATCCTGTATTCTAAAATGTGTGTTCACATTGCAGGTGACACTTGCCAGCAGGCCGACCCATGTGCCTCCAACCCATGCGGGAACGGTGGAACCTGTGTCCCATTTGAATCACAGTATGTGTGCAAATGCCTGGAAGGTTTTCACGGAGAGACCTGCAAGCAGGACGTCAATGAATGCAAACAGAATCCATGCAAAAATGGCGGAACCTGTGTTAATGGCTTTGGATCTTTCTCGTGTCTGTGCAAGAGTCGTTTTACTGGTAATTTCTGCGAGAACCCATATGTGCCATGCAATCCATCGCCGTGCCAAAATGGGGGCACCTGCCGGCAGACCGATGACACCTCCTATGAATGCACCTGCTTGCCAGGTATTGATCTCCATAGTCTTTGAGAGTTTTTTTTTTTTTATTTTCTCATTTTTGAACTTCTGCCTTGCGCAGTTGCTCTAAAGTGTACTGTTGCTGGTATTTTGGATGATTATATTGTGCAGCCTTTGTAATGATTTGATATTGCACTTGTATCACACAGTCATCACATTTAAATAATTTTTCAAAGCTCACCTCCAGAGTAGAGTAGGAAAGGGTCAAAAATGTTTTTATTACTGTCTGTGACCAGTTGGGGAGATTTACCCTCACTTCCTTTCCTAGTGACACCAAAGGAACATGCAGGGAATTGGTTTGAACAGGGCATAGAGATACAGAGGATAATCTGAGAAGTGACCTAACCCTTTCCTATTTTACAAAATCACTGTGCTTTTATTGCCGTCTCTGTCCCTATCAGAGGAAAATAATTTCCTTTCTTTGTGACACCCTGAGGCCAGGGTAGGACAGGAGGTTATCATTCCTGAATGGCGACACACAGAAATAAATTCTGACAAAGGCTTAAAAAATTAGAAAACTGTTTTGGCTGGCTTTGGCCATCCTGTCTATTGAATTTCCAAACCAAATGGTAAGCATGAGACAGAGCTGTACACAGGCAGTGCGACTGCCTGATATCTAAACGCAGCTAGTGCTATGGCGCATTTACACTTTTTTTTGCCGCGTTTTGGCTTTTTTTGCCAAAATGTTCCTCCCCTGAATGCGATTCTTCTGCATTCAAGAGAGGAATGTTTAACTGCCTAGAAACTCCACTGCTCCTAAACTTTGGTAAAAGCCTATGTGTGTATGGAAACATAGGCTTTTATTGGGCTGAGTTCAAGGGCTTTGCATTTAGGAGCAGCAGTGTGCATGAGGCCTAACAAGAAGACAGGTCTTGTTGAGTCGTACAACTACTTGTGTGTTCTGGGTTTAAAACCCCTAGATTATGCTCTTGTGTTTGCAACAGGAAGCGAGTTGTTTATTCAAGACAACAATTACTCGCTACCTTTCTCCACAATAGGAGGATATACCCATTCACTTTGAACTTTTGGCCTGGAGTACCAGATTGTCCGCTGGAAAAAATGACAAATCATTGGAGTTGTGTGTGGCCTACAGGCCTCTGTAGTGATTTAAGGGCAGAGGAGAGACCTGGAGTCTAATAGATCCCAGATTTCTCAGAAAAGAGTACCCTTCACTGCCTATTGCTATGAGGGTAGGTTTCTGGTTAAGGGAATTTTAAACTGCTAGTTTTATTATTAACCTGAAGGTAGTTTTTAACCTTGGGAGTTTTTAAGCTGGTGTTGGATTTAACAAAGTTTCTTCTGCGTTTCTTTTATTGGTCTTGGAATTTCATGGGGTTTGTTGTTCTTAAGTAACTGAATCTAGAGCTGGCAAAAGAGCTGAACAGTGTACATTGTCAACAGTTGCAGGCAGTCATTCTTTAGTATACCTTTTGTGAAGTGGAAATGAAATGAAGAATCATTTGATTTAGTTAATTCAGTCCCATGAGCCATGAATAGCAGTACTAGGGTTGTCTGAATCCCAACCACGGCACTACCTGCATGGAGCTTGCATGTTCTCCCTGTGCCTGCGTGGATTTCCATTGGGTACTCCAGTTTTTCTTTCCACACTCCAAAGACATGCTGGTAGGTTCATTGGCCCTAGTATGTGTATGTATGAATGTAAGTTAAGGACCTTCAATTGTAACCTCCTTGAGGGAAGGGACTTATGTGAAAGTTTAGGAGATATTCATTTTACCTACCTAGCTTTATTATAAGCTTACCTGTAGGTAAAATGAATCTCCTAAACTTGCACCATTTAGGAGATATTCTCCTTTTTTTTTTTTTTTTTTTTTTTTTAAGCTGGCTCATATGCTCTAAAGGAACGGCATATCCTTGCCGCTCCTTCAGAGCTGTGTGCCGTGGCCCGGGATGTCATCATGGTCCAGCCTGTCAGACGTCCGGAACTCAAGAACCCGGAAGGAAGACAGGTGAAGATGGAAGCCTCTACAGCAGTGACAGCGCACAGCTGGAGGGCTTTGTTTTAATGTAAGTTTTACATAATTTGATAGTATGCAGTGCATACTATCACATTATGACATTACCTTGCAGGGGACTTTTTTTTTTCTTTTCCCTTTCCTGCGGTTTACTACTGCTTTAAAGTACTGCGTAAAATGACCGTGCTGTACAAGTACCTGTAATAAATAAATTGTTTCTGTATGGCACGTGCCTTAAGTGTAGTCTCAGAGAGCATGTGTAAAAAGAGAGCATGTCCATTGCAGAAGCTTCAGAAAGGAATCCCATGCACATAGTTCGCATAGGACAGCCTATTTCCACATCAGCCGTTTGGAAGAAAGCATATCTCAAAAGAGATCTGTAGAACTATGTCTTTAAACAAGAGCAAAAGTGAACTGGTGGAGTCCTGTTTGTGTGTTTTTTTGTTTGTTTTTTTCTTTGGAAAGTTTCTTCTTTTTTTGTCTGGTAACTTTACAGAGCTAATGTTTGGCAAAAACATACTTATCGTATAAGGTGCCCCAAAATAATCGTATAGGCCATGATCATTGGCGTGGGGGTCAGGGGAAGAAGGAAATTTCTTCAGAACCTGATTGGGTGTTTGGAGAGGTCAGTGCTTCATTGAGCCTGCATTAAAATGGATAAATCACTCCTTTTTCTTGTCAGTTTCTATAAGAAGAAAGCTTTATTTTCCTGAATTGCGAGGCAGCATTTTTTTTTCTTCAAAAAACGTCATTAGTCGAGGAAGATTTTGCTAAGCAAGTCTGAATTTCTGAGAAGAGAGATCATGACACTGCGAGCCATGCACTAAAAAAGAAAAAAAAAAACCCCTTGAACAGGAAACGTTAGGTCTGCACAAAACGGATGTATTCCTTCCTCTTCAACTCACAATAAGCAGTAAAATGTAAAAAAAAATGTCCTTTTGTCACACCATGCAGAAAAAGAAAGTATCTTTTTCCGTCTGCAATGTTTTGTAATCCCCATGTTCTTCCATGCCGTCAGTGGACCCTTGTACAAATGTTGTTTGCTGCATGTTGAGACACGTCTGAAGCATCTGTGGAGCTTTAATAAGTAACAATTCACCTGATACTTTTTTCTGTGACCTAACACTCCCAAACTCGAAGTTGCAAAGAATTTCATGAATTCTGTTAAATGACTAACTTTGGGCGAAAAGTCGGTGATTTCGGCATTCTTTTGAAATGTTCTTACTGTGGTGTTTTTTAATCGGGAGCAGTAACTATTCAACATTTTAGGCACATTTACATTATTTAGGAGTACACTGTTGGTTTATAAAGCTTCTGAAGTGTAAAGTGCTGTCCCATATGTTATGCCAAGATCGCAATGTTGGTTACTGCAAGCAACAATAGTTTTGGCATCTGACCTAATAAGTACAGGTTTACTATGACTATAGGGTTTGTTTTTTTTTTTTCCATTTTGGAAAGACTAAGGGAGGTTTTGAACCCTCTCATCATTTTTTTTTTTTTGCCATCTGTGTCCCATTGGGAAGATTTCCCTTCACTTCCTTTCCCATTGTCAAAACAGGGAGCGAAAGGAAATCCCTCCAAAGTGAGGTAGTCCTATGGGGTCACCAGAACTCCCCATTGGAAGATTTCCCCTCTATTAATGTTCTGTTGTCAACCCAAAACTTGGATTTTCTTTTACCGTCACAACAACAGTAAACAGGACAAATAGAGAGGTTGATTCTCCCTAAGGAGGCCACAGACAGCAATAAAAACTGACAGGGGTTCTAATCTCTCTCCACTGTATCTAAAACTTATTAAAAAAATTGGCTTTAATGACATTTTAAGGTTTGGGTCAGGTTGAGGATTGAAGTAAATAATCCAATCACTAAAGTCTTGTGTAAGCTTCAACATGTTAAAGTGTCGGTAAACTCAAAACGTATCTCTTAAAGGGGAAGTTCCGCTTTAAGGACTGCTCCCCATTAAGGATTGGCACCTTTGGGGGGCAGGGGAGCGGGTACCCGAATTTGACAGGTACCCGCTCCCACTTCTGCTGCGACTGTCTAGGCGATCGGACGCAGAAGGTGTCCTCCCTCCCTCCCACCCTGTAGATTTTTAGGACATTAGGCAGGTCCCAGAAGACTACAGGACCATTCATGAAGTGCAGCACTACTCGCGCATGCGCAGTGGGTACCCGGCTGTGAAGCCACAAGCTATCACAGCTGGGTGCCCACACTGAAGATGCTGGCCTCCTGGAATACAGGATGGCCGGTGAAACGGGCTGCGGGGGACACACCGCGGGACCGAGGGTCAGGTAAGTGGCTGTTTTTTAAAAGTCAGCAGCTACAGTTTTAGTAGCTGCTGATTTTTATTTGTTGACAGGGTGAGTGGAACTCCGCTTTAATTAGAGGCTCCCAAACGAAACTGTCTGTGTGCTGTTTGGTAATTCTTATATCATTGTAGTAAATAAAAATATTCCTGCTGATCTTGCCGGTTATTTTGTGCTTTCGTAAATGTGATGGCAACACTCCACAGGTTGATCTTGCCTCTCTGGCATTGACACCTGTGTACACATATTCTGGTTCTTTCTCTAGAAAAGCCGTGTCAGGGGCTGCAGCTAGGTGATTGACAGCCACTCCTCCAATGAGCCTTGCTGTCATACTAGGGAGAACAGGTCATGTGATCACATTTGTGGCAACTCTGCTCTGCACAGCCAGGGGTGGAAGATGGAGGGTAAAAAAACAGCCAAAATGTCACCAGGACAGGTGATGCACTGTGGCTTTGCCCTGCACACAGACCAGGGCCATGCAGTGGGGAGAAGAAAATGGATCACATGACCTGGATCAATAACGTAAAAAAAAAAAGGTATTTCTGCTTCTTTTAAATCTGCGAGTTATGGCTGGGTTATAAGAGATAAAAGCGGACTCCGCTCCACCGACCCCAGGAGTCAGACACATGCATGGCCACCACTCAGCATCTAACTCCTGGGGTCGGTGGAGTCCACCTTTATCTCTTATAACCCAGCCACAACTCGCAGATTTAAAAGAAGCAGAAATACCTTTTCTTTCTTTCTTTTTTTTTTTTTTTTTTTTTTTTTTTTTACTTTTTAACATAAATCAGCTATACAGGGAATTGCTCTGTGACACCTGCTCCCTTTCCTTGCTGGCGGGGGGATTCTTGTCTTACTAGCCAGCCTGGAGCTGAACCAAGAGACATGGCTGGGTTATTCCTACAAGTGTTTGTGTCATTTCTCTTTGCACATCTCAAAAAAACCTCAGAAATGTAAATTATCACATAACTGTGATAAGACAGTGGTTTAATGGAATTTCAATAGTAGTACTTTTTAAATATGCAACGTTCAGGAAAAATAACTGGTGACCCTAATATGAAGGCCCTTGTTTATCCATTGCCTGTTTAAGGGTGACAACACTTTGTCCCAGTCTCCCAGTTGTGCTTCTGTGTTATCTCTCTATCAAACACACCCTTGGTAGAGACTATAGGGGCTTTTTCACTACACACTTTGCATACATGGTCCACTGTTGTTCTAATCAGGGTGATTGACCAGAGCAATGAAATGCTGCAGCAAGGACATGTAGAAGGGAATTGACTAAAAGAAGTTGGAGAAGATTCAGTGTCGGCATTAGCCAAAGGCCCATGTCAGACTGGCAGATCTGTAGATGGTGAAAATTTGCCAGTGATAGGATTGGTGAATGACTGCAGTTCTTTCTTATGGTGTCACTCCCTGGCTTGCCAAACCAGCAAGATAGATATCACTCCATTGCCAGAGATCAAAATTCTGCAATGTTTCAGCTATCAAGGGTGCGGCTTGTGTTGTGTTGATTGGCGTGTGCACCTTAGTAATTCTTCCACCAGGGAGGTGCTACCAGCCTGATAAGTATTGGGTAGGGGGAGGGCGATGGGCTCATGGTAAGGATTTATGATAGGTTAAAGGTTAGGAATATGTAGACAAGCACTTTGTTGTTTTTTTTTAACTTGTATTTGGTGGCACAAGCTGATCTACCATGTAATATAGAGAAAAATTAACAACATCTGTGAATGAATAAACTACAAGTCCCATCTGCCACAGCAGCAGATGGCTTGTAGTTCTCAATGAACTTTCAAGGGCACTGATGAGAGTAGTTCATTGACACTTCCTCCAGCTTTGTAATGATTTGCCTGTATAAAGGTACAGACAGGCAAGTTAGAGGACGTGTCTGCAGGAGCCTGACACTGCACCCACAATCTTCTGATCAGGGGTCCAATGCTCTGTAGGCTCATCAGAAAAAATAATTAAAGCACGGCCCCGAACCCTCCCTGGCCTGACTCATCCCCTATGTTTACCCTTCTCGCTGACCCCTGCCTCACTGAAACGTACCCCCCCTCCTCCTCTCCTCACTCCCTAACCTTACTCTTTTTCTAGTCTTCCTTTCCTTCTCTTCTCACTGCGATTCAGATTCCTCATGTGACATGTGGTTAATGCTCTGTTGTGCAACCTGTATATATCATCACTACATGCAATGAATACTGAAAACATGTGACTCTGTTGATTTTACTTTGTACTCTCATTGTGACGGTGATAAATACTTTATTCTATGTCATGCTTTACTACTGTATACTGTTTTTTTGTTACAAAATTCAATTTGAAAAAATAATAAATGCACATTTTTTTTCTGCAAAAAACATGCATTTATTTATTTTTTCTTAAAGGTGAACTTAGAATTTAATGCTACTTTTATGAGACTTAAGGGGGGGTTATTTACTAAAATTGGAACGTGCAAAATCTGGTGCATCCCTGCATAGAAACCAATCAGCTTCCAGGTTTTTTTTTGTCAAAGCTCAATTGAACAAGCTGAATTAGACGCTGACTGGCTACCATGCACAGCTGCACCAGATTCTGAGTGCACCAGCTAATGTTAAAAAAAAAAAAAAAAAAAAAAAAAATCTTTAATTTTTCTTTAAAATCTTTAGATTTTTACTCATTATCCACTGTTTTCTTCATTGGCTGGGTCCATTATGTGTCTAAATTTTACCACCATGTGCATTTTCCAGCATGCTAGCAAACTTTCCTTCAAAGTCAGCAGATTTTCAATATTGAGATCCCATAAGTGACAACTGTTCATTAATATACTTGCAGGGATTGTTGTGCAAACTCTCTACACAAGCTGCCGGCATTTAATCTCTTGCTGGGCGGAATCTTGTAATTTCTGTTTACAAGCGTCTTTTTACTTTGCGGATATTCAAAATCCCTTTATGGGATGCGTTTGAATCATCAATTTTTTTTTCCCTCCACTTTTGAGGCTTGTGGCCAGGCATGTTATAACTGGGCAAACATTAACCTCAATGGTACTTTGAAGCCTTTTCAAACAATAGTAGCTGGAGTTTTTATGGGCTTGCCTGGCAGGTGTCTCATATAGCACAGGCAGCCTGAGATACATTATCAAAGAAAGGAAAAAGAAAAAACGCCTACATACACTTGAAAAGATCAAAGAGCGAATGACGCTGAATACCTGCACAGTTTATTTTTCTGCTACAGACATCCTGGGCCTTCTGAAAGGCAAGCAACTTTAGGGTAAAGCAAAGGATCTACAAATTCCCCAGCTGTGCTTTTATGGGATCACTTCACTTAAAACTCATATTTTTTGGGTTATGGGTGAATGCTTATGGTCCAAATAACCCAAGGGTCTTTTTATGTCTCCAGGCCTCTAGTATCCTGATCTGCACACTGCAGACCCAGCAGGGAGATTCAGACCCCTTTGAGACACTTGTGGCACGTAGCAGTAGCTGGGAACTCAACTAATTGAGAGATTCTGCAAGAGATATAAAAACTAGCAGGGGATCCAGCTCATTGGTATCTGTAGAAAGCATAAAGGCCGTGTCCACCTCAAACGTGATATTTCCTTGTCTGCAAGGTTCAATGAATGGTAGTGTTGCCCTCCACCATTGAACTAGGCCAGGGGTCTCCAAACTTTCTAATAAAGGGCCAGTTCACTGTCCTTCAGACTTTAGGGGGAGCGGACTGTTGCCAGTGGAAGTAGACATTGTGTCAGGCTTGGTGGTCAGTGGGAGTAAAAGAATTAGCACCTGTGGTCTGTACAAGGAGGAATAGTGGCTTGTCATTGCTATTAGTTGGAAGAACAATGCCCCATCATTGGTGTCAGTGGGAGAAATAGTGCTCTGTTTATATGAGTGGGAGAAATTATGCCCAAAATATGCCCCATGCCGTCTTCTGTCCCCAGTATCTTCAGTGTGGGCACCCGGCTGTGACAGCCTGCGGCTTTTACTGCGCATGTGCGAGAAGTGCTGAGCTTTGTGAATGGCCCCGTAGTCTTCTGGAACCTGTCACATGTCCCAGAAGACTACGGGGAGGGAGGGAGGACATCTTGTGATCGCAGTGGAAGTGGGAGCAGCTACCTGTCAAATTCGGGTACCTGCCCCTCCCCGCTCCCCAAAGGTCTGCAGTCTCTGGTCATCTCCTGTACTACAGTCAGGTCCATAAATATTGGGACATCGACACAATTCTAACATTTTTTTGGCTCTATACACCACCACAATGGATTTGAAATGAAACAAACAAGATGTTCTGCAGACTGTCAGCTTTAATTTGAGGGTAATTTACATCCAAATCAGGTGAACAGTGTAGGAATTACAACAGTTTGCATATATGCCTTCCACTTGTTAAGGGACCAAAAGTAATGGGACAGAATAATAATCATAAATCAAACTTTCACTTTTTAATACTTGGTTGCAAATCCTTTGCAGTCAATTACAGCCTGAAGTCTGGAATGCATAGACATCACCAGACGCTGGGTTTCATCCCTGGTGATGCTCTGCCAGGCCTCTACTGCAACTGTCTTCAGTTCCTGCTTATTCTTGGGGCATTTTCCCTTCAGTTTTGTCTTCAGCAAGTGAAATGCATGCTCAATCGGATTCAGGTCAGGTGATTGACTTGGCCATTGCATAACATTCCACTTCTTTCCCTTAAAAAACTCTTTGGTTGCTTTTGCAGTATGCTTTGGGTCATTGTCCATCTGCACTGTGAAGCGGCGTCCAATGAGCTCTGAAGCATTTGGCTGAATATGAGCAGATAATATTGCCTGAAACACTTCAGAATTCATCCTGCTGCTTTTGTCAGCAGTCACATCATCAATAAATACAAGAGAACCAGTTCCATTGACAGTCATACATGCCCACGCCATGACACTACCACCACCATGCTTCACTGATGGGGTGGTATGCTTAGGATCATGAGCAGTTCCTTTCCTTCTCCATACTCTTCTCTCTTCCCATCACTCTGGTACAAGTTGATCTCGGTCTCATCTGTCCATATGATGTTGTTCCAGAACTGTGAAGGCTTTTTTAGATGTTGTTTGGTAAACTCTAATCTGGCCTTCCTGTTTTTGAGGCTCACCAGTGGTTTACATCTTGTGGTGAACCCTCTGTATTCACTCTGGTGAAGTCTTCTCTTGATTGACTTTGACACACATACACCTACCTCCTGGAGAGTGTTCTTGATCTGGCCAACTGTTGTGAAGGGTGTTTTCTTCACCAGGGAAAGAATTCTTCGGTTATCCACCACAGTTGTTTTCCGTGGTCTTCCAGGTCTTTTGGTGTTGCTGAGCTCACCGGTACGTTCCTTCTTTTTAAGAATGTTCCAAACAGTTGTTTTGGCCACGCCTAATGTTTTTGCTATCTCTCTGATGGGTTTGTTTTGTTTTTTTAGCCTAATGATGGCTTGCTTCACTGATAGTGACCGCTCTTTGGATCTCATCTTGAGAGTTGACAGCAACAGATTCCAAATGCAAATAGCACACTTGAAATGAACTCTGGACCTTTCATCTGCTCATTGTAATTGGGATAATAAGGGAATAACACACACCTGGCCATGGAACAGCTGAGAAGCCAATTGTCCGATTACTTTTGGTCCCTTAACAAGTGGGAGGCACATATGCAAACTGTTGTAATTCCTACACCGTTCACCTGATTTGGATGTAAATACCCTCAAATTAAAGCTGACAGTCTGCAGTTAAAGCACATCTTGTTCGTTTCATTTCAAATCCATTGTGGTGGTGTATAGAGCCAAAAATGGTAGAATTGTGTCGATGTCCAAATATTTATGGACCTGACTGTATGTCCGAAGTCTCTGGTCATCTCCTGTACTATGTCCGCAGTTTCTGGTCATCTCCTGTACTATGTCCGCAGTCTCTGGTCATCTCCTGTACTATGTCCGCAGTCTCTGGTCATCTCCTGTACTATGTCCGCAGTCTCTGGTCATCTCCTGTACTATGTCCGCAGTCTCTGGTCATCTCCTGTACTATGTCCGCAGTCTCTGGTCATCTCCTGTACTATGTCCGCAGTCTCTGGTCATCTCCTGTACTATGTCCGCAGTCTCTGGTCATCTCCTGTACTATGTCCGCAGTCTCTGGTCATCTCCTGTACTATGTCCGCAGTCTCTGGTCATCTCCTGTACTATGTCCGCAGTTTCTGGTCATCTCTTGTACTATGTCCGCAGTCTCTGGTCATCTCCTGTAGTACATCTGCAGTCTCTGGTCATCTCCTATACTATGTCTGCAGTCTCTGGTCATCTCCTGTAGTACATCCGCAGTCTCTGGTCATCTCCTGTAGTACATCCGCAGTCTCTGGTCATTTCCTTCACTATGTCTGCAGTCCATTGGTTCGGAATATTTTTTTTCTTGTTTTCCTCCTCTAAAAACTAGGTGCGTCTTATGGTCAGGTGTGTCTTATGGAGTGAAAAATACGGTAATTGAGGTGTCCAGTTGTAAGAGATCATTGCTTATTTGCAGAAAGGACAGAGACACCACAAGTATATTTCATCAGAGGTGCCTGTAAGTGAGGGTGTATTCACACTTGCAAATGCACCTGCTTGTCAATTAAATGCGAGAACTATCTGTGAGAGGCAGACCCAGTGAAAGCAATAGGAAGCTGCCGACTCCCGCAGCTAATGGCCACTCACATTTAATCCCTCCTGCAGCGATCACATGCGAGTGTTCGGCCCTGCATGCAGTCAGTCTGGGGTTTATTTACTAAAGCTGGAGAGTCCAAAATCAGACTCCCTTCTGCATAGAAACCAATCAGCTTCCAGGTTTCATTGCCAAAGCTTCATTGAACAAGCTGAGGTTAGAAGCTGATTGGTTTCTATGCAGAAGGGAGTCTGATTTTGGACTCTCCAGCTTTAGTAAATAAACCCCTCTGTGTCCAGGTGGCAGAGCCCACCCAAGGCTGTAACATCAGGGGATCTGCAGTTAATAATGGCCACTCACATGTAATCCCTCATGGAGCGATCACATGCAAGTGTTCAGCCCTGCATGCAGGCAGTCTGTGTCCAGGTGGCAGAGCCCACCCAAGGCTGTAACATCAGGGGATCTGCAGCTAATCATGGCCACTCACATGTAATCCCTCCTGCAGCGATCACATGCAAGTCTTCGGCCCTGCATGCAGGCAGTCTGCGTCCAGGTGTCAGAGCCCACCCAAGGCTGTAACATCAGGGGATCTGCCCTTCACATTATAACCGTAAGGTGACTGCTGCCTCCTTAACTAGACAGCACTACCAAGCTATCACTTGTACAGGATCATCATCTGTGACCTTTTTGCCACTCGTTACATTTATTTGTACACTATTCATTTTTCTATAGCGTTTTGTTTCTCGGCTTTTGTAGCCGTGGCTGTACATGTGGAAAGTCGGTTTTAACCAGTTTCTTTATTATGGAGAATTAGAGTCAGCAGTCCCAGCCAACTGATTTAGAAACACTTTCAGAAAGACTTGTTTTTTGTTGTGGTATAAACATGTACAGATCAGATTACACCTGCTGGTGGAACAAGGCTGTAAGGCAACCCTTTCCTCCTCCTAACCTGGCAAAGAGCGATTCATTTCAGGCTCAAAGAATTTGCTGTGTGTTTACAGTAAACACGGCAGAGGTGAACCCAAAACCAAGAAGGCGGCCTGGTGTTCGATCCTCATCGCGCACCTCCTACACCTGCCAGGTCAGGCCAAAAATGAAAAATTGACACTCGTGCCTTGTGGAAATTGACAGGTTGAAAGCATGTTTGCTGTATAAATCCGGCCTTTATCAGATAAGACTGCTAAATATGGCACTGCCTGAATGTACTGTTTGGAGTACAGTGATTTGTGAATAGGAGGAGTGTCCCTGTCCACCTTCAGTCCCAACCATCCCTCACAGTTTTGAAATTTAGCCTGACAAATTGTCTTCCGCCAGTTTATCTTGGTTACAGTGTGTGAATTTCCTTGTAATGAAAAGATGTTTATTTTTCACATGAGAACATTTGATTGCATGTTTCTTTGCAGTTTTCAACAACTTCATGCAGTTTTTATGTACTGAGGGCCAGTTCACACTACGTGTGTTTCAAATGCATTTTTTCTGCATCCATAACGCACAGAAAGTAGGTTACATGATTGTCAATGTCATAGTTCACTCAGCGCTTGCAGTTCCAGTGCGTTCCAGATGCACAAAAAAAAAGTAGAACATGCTGCATTTTTTCCTGCACAGAACTGTACTAAAACATGCTAAAATGCATCAAAAAGGCACTGGAATGCACGTCTCTATTTAAATTGAAGAAAAAGGAAAAAATGAACTAGAATGCATAAAAAAACGCACCCAAACGCATAAAAAATGTGCATGCAAAAACGCATCCGGAATGCATTTGTATTGCGTTTCTATAGTGTGAACTGGCCCTCACTGCATCTTATTTGACTTCGCATATACTAACATTTCTAGAGTTCAGGCTATCCTTAAGGGTCCATGTACACTGGGTTAAAAAAAAAAAAAAAAAAAAGCCATTTCCCTTGGCAGAGAAAAAATGGTCATATAGATCATTTTGTACATGCGTTTAGGTGCATTTAGCATTTTTTTTTCTGCCAGAAATGCCTCCAAAAGGTTTATTTCTGTCTCTAAATGCTGAGCTTAAAATATGCCTTTAAAGGTCCCAATGTAAATGGCCACATAAGATAACAATGAGCTCCTTCTACAGGCGAAACATAAAAACTCCTGTAGAAGCAACATTTTTCAGCCCAATGTGCTTGGACCCTAAAGGATATCCAAACCCAAGAACAGAAATGTACATAATGCAGCTTACAAATCTTTGGATATGGTGGTTGCATTAGTTTTCATTTTTCAAGCTACGAACATTTTCAGCAAGTACAGCAATTACCTGCTGATCTTGCTGGAAATGTAATGTCCTTGCAAGTTCCTGTGCACTGAACTAAAATCACAATGTTATCTTTGTTCCAAAATATCTTCTGTAAACCATAAATACCCCCAAGGTAAGGCAATAGACATGAAGAGAAAAATCAGGAGAGCAGCCTCGCAGTAAAACTGACGCCTCCTGTCGAGTCAGGAGGAGTTGAAGCCTCCCATTCAAGTCTATGGTGCCGCTCTGCAAACGCCTGGCAGGTGTTTGCGGTGCGGTTGCGACATGGTTGCGAGGTGATTGCGGAGCGTTAATACAATTTAACTTTTTTATAGGCGTTTGTGGTGCGGTTTTAACGCTTGGCAAACTCCTATCAACCACCTCAAAAACGCGCATGCGGCGTTTGGGGTGCAATGGAGGAGCGTTAAAACGCTTCCCAAACGCCTAATGCCTGTCACACGCTATAGGGGTGTTTGGCAAGAGTTAGAAATAAAGTCAAGTGTGAACGGGCCCTAAAACATCCACCACAAGAGCTGGTAAGCTGCAATATTTTTTTTTTTGGGGGATAGCTTTTTTTTTTGTTTGTTTTTGTTTTATTTTTTACATTATTATTTAACAGGATTTATATAGCGCCAACAGTTTGCTCAGAGCTTTACAATATAACAGGAGACAATACAGCAACAACACAGTTCAATACAAGAGGGATAGGAGGGCCCTTGGAGCTTACAATCTAAGAGGGAGGGGCTAGTGGTACAAAAGGTAATAACTGTGGGGGATGGACTGGTAGGAGGAATAGAAGATTCCATTATTAGCTGAGGGCAGGATAAAGAGAGGTTTTCAGAGATCGTCTAAAAGTGAGTAGAGTAGGCCATAGTCTGATAAATTGGGATAGAGAGTTCCAGAGGATAGGGGAAGCTCTGGAGAAGTCCTGGAAACGAGCATGGGAGGAGGAGACAAGGTTTTTTGGGGTTTTTTTTTAGTTTTGCATGGAGTTGGGAAAGGTTAAAACACAAGTTTTTGTTTGTTTTTTTTTGCTGTTCTTGTTGTACTGGGGAGATTTCCCTTTTGGTTTTTGTCCCAGAGACACAACAAGAAGTTTGAGGCGATCTCTCAAAGATTGGGGAAAATTGCCACCGTAGGAGATTAGATTCAAACAGGAGGGAGAGAGAGAGGGAGATTTCCCCAGCAAGGGCCACAGACAGGCATTACTGGCAGAAGTAGGCAATACGTAGAGTGTGGATGTCTTTTAATTCATCAGTCCAGTGTTATGCTGCACTCAATGAGAAATAATAAGCTGTGGGGAGCCAGGCCTTGATTTTCTTTACAGGCCACACTCTTCTGCTGTCCTGTAGTAGCAGCGTGTTTAATCAGTAACCCGCCACATGTTGGTCTTGTGGACAAGATTTCCATAATCGGGCCAGCGGTAGTGACTGAAGGCAGCTATCACAAGTCCCTTTTACAACCGCCATCATTGCAGTTATATTATGGGGCCTCTCCCTGTGATTGCAGCTTAATGGCTTTATCTGATTGCAGGTTCCATGGTTGAGCCAGCACACTCTTCCCCTTACATTGGGACTATTGCCGAGGGCAAGCAATGTAATAGCATAAACAGGTTGCCTTTCGTATGTTTGCTGTAAACAGAAAAGAATCAACTCCTTGTGTCTTCCTTACATAGCCCTGAACTCTACCTGTGGTGGTTACAGTCTGAACTGGAGTAACAAATAGTGTTTCTGTTGTAATTTAATCTCAACAGGAGCCAAAGTGGTTGGGCAATACAGAACTTTGATAATGCAGCTGACCACTTAATGCAGCTATTTTGAAGGATTAACCATTGTTGTTACTGTCCTTTCCCTCATCGTATAAAGTAACCTTTCCTTCTCCAATGTTTACAGAAAACTGCTGCCAAATACGAACCATTCATCTTATAAACACACCAGTTCTAAATCATTGAGCAAAAACTTGGCTTATGTCTGCCCCAAGAGACACCATTCTTTCATAGGACTCCATTGCCTTGCCCCTAATAGCATAAAGAGGGCTGTCCATTACAACCTGCATATACAAAACACAAACACAAATTCATCCCTGTCAAGAAATGACTTTCTTGTGAATTGCATTATTAAACCATATTGTAGCAAACAGACTTCTAGAACAAATTCTAAAAATGACTATGATCTTCTGCTTTGATAGGATTTGCAGGTCAGAACTGTGAGGAGAACATTGACGATTGTCCTGGACACAGCTGCAAGAATGGAGGCACCTGTGTGGATGGCGTGAACACTTATAATTGCCAGTGTCCCCCTGACTGGACTGGTAAGTCACATAAAAGGAACATCTAAGCTCAGCTACAGTTACTTTTTATCCTTTCAATTTTTTTCCTAAAACTCAGCTTGGTCGTTAGGTCTTCAGTGAGGCAAATCAAACACAACTTGGTACCAGCAAACACAAATGCTCCTGCGCTTGGGGAAGGACTTGATGCAGGCTACAACCACATTAAGAATGTCCTGGAACATGCACACCTTGCTGCCCTCAAATGGACCGGGGAAATCCAAATATACTGAATGAGGAAAGAACAAAGAGAGGGCGCACAGGCCTAGTGCATTACCATAAAAAATGTTTAATAAGATGAAGTAGGTGTTGTACTCACAAACGACAATAAAGTCAAGGCACGTCATAAAGGAACAGCTGGGTCAACACCGCGCTGAGTAACAGTCCGCAATAGGGAGTGTAGACATCCAATAGGCTGACGCGTTTCGAGGCCAGGGCTCTGAGGAAGAGACAAGTCCTCAAAACGCATCAGCCTATATGATGTCTACACTCCCTATTGCGGACTGTTACTCAGCGCGGTGTTGACCCAGCTGTTCCTTTATGATGTGCCTTGACTTTATTGTCGTTTGTGAGTACAACACCTACTTCATTTCTTATTAAACATTTTTTATGGTAATGCACTAGGCCTGTGCGCCCTCTGTTTGTTCTTTCCTCAAACACAACATGGTGTAGTGAGATTCCAAGTATTCATGCATAGCATCATGCAACTCTGTTGTCTTTAGGAAAAAGTATCACAGACCGTCTTTTCCTTATAAAGTATTTTGCACTTGTCCCAACCTGCCAGGGAATTGTGCCTCAACAAAAGCTACACAGATGTGACTTCCATTGAGGCCTTGAACATGTCATCTATAAACTGTAACTATATATCTGTATATTTATAAACGATATAGGGTCTGGGATTAAAAATCCCATTTCAGTCTTTGCAGATGACACCAAGCTGTGCAGTGGAATAACATCCTTACAGGATGTCTCCAATTTACAAGCCAACCTCAATGCACTGTTTAATTGGGCAACTATGTGGGAAATGAGGTTTAATGTTGATAAATGTAAGGTATGCACTTGGGGGCTAAAAATATGCATGCATTATACATACTAGGGGGGGTACAACTGGGAGAATCAATGGTGGAGAAGGATCTGGGAGTTCTGGTAGATCACAAGCTTAATAATGGCATGCAATGCCAAGCTGCAGTTTCTAATGCAAGCAAAATCCTCTCTTGTATTAAAAGAGGTATAGACTCCAGAGAGGGAGATATCATATTACCCCTGTACAAATCCATTAGTAAGACCTCATCTAGAATATGCAGTTCAGTTTTGGGCACCAATTCACAAAAAGAACATTGGGGAACTGGAGAAAGTACAGAGAAGGGCAACCAAACTGATAAGAGGCATGGAGGAGCTCAGCTATGAGGAAAGATTAGAGGAACTGAATGTGTTCTCTCTTGAGAAGAGAAAATTAAGGAGGGGATATGATCAACATGTATAAATACATCAGTGGTTCATATAGTGAACTTGGTGTAGAGTTATTCACCCTGAGGTCATCACAGAGGACAGGGGGGCACTCTTTACATCTGGGGGAAAAGAAATTTAATCTCCAAACACAGAAAGGTTTCTCCACAGTGAGAGCTGTGAAATTGTGGAATAGACTCCCTCAAGAGTTGGTTCTGGCCAGCTCAGTGGATTGCTTTAGAAAAAGGCCTGAATTATTTCCTAGATACACAGAATATAACTGGATACTAACATTTATAGGTAAAGTTGATCCAGGGAATATCCGATTGCTTCTTGGGGGATCAGGAAGGAATTTGTTTTCCCTGCAGGAGCAAATTGGATCATGCTTTGCTCGGTTTTTTTGCCTTCCTCTGGATCAACTTTTTTTTTTTTTTCCATGGTTGAACTGGATGGACTTTTGTCTTTTTTTGGCCAGACTAACTATGTAACACTTAGTTTTAGTAACATTTTTTTTTTTTACATGTATGCGTTTTTCAGGGCAGGAAATTCATTGCTGCTGGTAAAGTTTTTTTTTTTTTTTTTTTTTTTTTTTTTTTTTTCTTTGGGCAGATTATTTTAATGACAAGCCGCAGAAGAAATTTGATATGCCTTCTTTCCATAGGCCATTAATCACAAATAGCTGCATATTAGGCCACTGTAAAATTGAGATGTTCTAAATGGTAGTAAGAACAATTTTCATTGTTTTTCCAAAAAGGCCAATACTGCACTGAAGATGTCGATGAATGTCAGTTGATGCCAAATGCTTGTCAGAATGGGGGAACATGCCACAACACCCATGGTGGATATAACTGCGTCTGTGTCAACGGCTGGACAGGAGAGGATTGCAGTGTAAACATTGACGATTGCGCCAATGCTGCTTGCAACAATGGAGCAACATGTCATGATAGGGTTGCATCTTTCTACTGCGAATGTCCACATGGACGCACAGGTGAGAACAAGTTGTCATGTATCATGCCAGAGGCCTAGAACATGAGGCTTCATTATTACATTTATTATTTTGTTTTCATGTCATAACTGAACTCGAACACATCACACCCAATAAACAATGTTTCTGTTTGATCAGATAAATAGAACCATCCTAATTAATGAAAAAGATGGTTGCTACAGATGGTTGTTATAATGGTCTGTGTAAGTTCTTGGTCTTTGCCTTTACACTGGCAAATAGTGTTTATCAGAGATAAGATTTTCAGTTGTACTGTGTAGAAATCTCTACTTTGCGGCTGCTGGTATTGAGGAAATTAAATCAACAATGTATGACTAGCAGCCTAATCAATGTTAATATTTGTGTCACAAAGTGCTCATATTTAGCCTAAGTTACCAATTTTACAAAAGTAAAAAAAAAAAAAAAGTAATTGCGCATAGCAAAGTAAAACTAGTGTGTAAAGGCCAAGAATGTAGTGCAAGTACACGAGGTGACCCATACACTGGAAGGTGCAGTAGCCAACTTGCAAAAACTTCTGACCAAAAGTTTGCAATTACTACACTATAATTGTTGGTTGACTATTACTTTATCAACAAGAATTTTACTACAATAAGTACCAAGGAGAAGTCTTTTGTTTCAGCAAAAGCTCTGAGCAAATGAGAGTAACTGGCTAATTTTACATCTAAAAATGAATGTCCACTCCCTTTAGGTCTTCTCTGTCACCTTGAAGATGCTTGTATCAGCAACCCATGCAATGAAGGCTCCAACTGTGATACCAACCCTGTCAATGGCAAAGCTATTTGCACTTGTCCATCTGGCTACAGCGGTCCTGCCTGCAATCACGATGTGGATGAGTGCTCGCTAGGTAAGGCATAAGCTTCAAATCTGAAGTTCTGGTCAACATTGGCATACAAGTAACAGATTAACGTGTGCTTGGTTATTTTTTTTTGTCTGGTTTACTAAAGCAGTAAAATATTATTAATTTACCTTTCTTGTTCAGGTGCCAATCCATGTGAACATGCAGGAAAATGTATCAACACTCAGGGTTCTTTCCAATGCAACTGTCTCCCAGGCTACGCTGGGCCACGATGTGAAATTGATGTCAATGAATGTCTTTCAAACCCTTGTCAGAATGATGCCACATGCCTTGACCAGATTGGTGGATTCCAGTGTATCTGTATGCCAGGTAAAAGCATTAAAAAAATAAATTGTCAGAAGTCCTAACTATGCAGTAATGCTTCTGTGTTTCAGTACTCAGTCTTTAATGTCTTCTGATTTTCAGGCTATGAAGGCACATACTGTGAAATCAATACAGATGAATGCTCTAGCAACCCCTGCTTACACAATGGCAAATGCATCGATAAAATCAACGAGTTTCACTGTGAATGCCCTACAGGTGAGAGAAGAGATCAATAAAGTGGCTTTTCTTTGCAAGGTTGCAGTTAATCTTCAGCCTTGGGCAGTTTATCAGTTCTCAATAGGAGAATCTCTCTTCTCATCTGTTTTTTCCCCCCCTCTGTTCTGCTTATGCTTGATTAGTAAGATAGTGGGTTTTTCTGCTGGCTGACATGAAGTCAGATTGCATTATGATTACTTTTAACCTCCAGCTTGAGGACCTCATGTGGTCTGTATTCCCTGTGTAAAGTGTATTCTGGAACTGCTTTGAGTTCTGTCAGGCTGCAAAGGGAAATATTACTTTCTGGGTTTTATCTTGCTTCTCTTTGCATTTAATATCTCATGACAATTTAATGGAAATCTGTACTGAGAAAATTTTGTGATGGGGTCTGTACCACTTTTAGTACATTTTCTATTTAACGCAACACTAAGATGATTCTGAAATCGTATGATTAGGAATGAATCAGCCTGGTGTGCCAGGTCAATGGATTATCCGGGGTTGGCACCAGAAGATACACAAAGCCATGTTATAGAAATCTGAGTAGGCATATTAATACTATTATTATTCTTGTCATCATTTTATACCAGGCGTTGGCAACCCATCAATCTCTCATATACCCGTCAACTGCCAGCAGGTGACAGGTAGATCGCAATCAGTCCAGACGGGTGGCAACATAGTGCCGCTCCTTTTCCCCAGCCTCTGCTACTTTCATCCTTCCAGCAGAGCAGAGAATGGGAGGCCGCACCATTCTGGATGATTGGCTGGAGCTGCCCCAGTTACCCTTGCAAGTTAACCAACAGGTGATTGGTTGCTGGGTGCAAGGCTGTCCTAGCAACCAATCACCAGCTTGTTAATATGAAAAGTTAACTCCAGCAGCTCCTGCTTCTGGTCACTATCCAGACAGGTGCTGCTTCTTGCTCTGCTGTACACCTGAACCTGACACTGTTGTGTGTCTGTGTGGGTGGGTGACGCTAAGGACAGAAGGAAGGGTGGAGCAGAGGAAACTGTTATAGGGCGTAGGGGACAGTATTGTGGAGGAGTAGAGAACACTACTGGTTGGGAAGGGGGGGGGTAGAGGACACTACAGCAGGAGGTGATGTGGGGGGAGGGGCAGAGGACACTACTGTGGGGGGTTATTTGGGGGGGGGGGGGCAGAGGACACTACTGTGTGGGGGGTGATTTGGGGGGGGGGCAGAGGACACTACTGTGGGGGGGAGGAATGGGGACAGAGGACAATACTGTGGGGGGGATAATGTGAAGGGGGGCAGAGGACACTACTGTAGGGATGATGCGGGAGGCAGAGGACACTACTGTGTGGGTTGGGGGCAGAGGACACTACTGTGGGGGGGGGCAATGTGAAGGGGGGCAGAGGACTCTAATGTGGGGGTGATGTTGGAGAGGAGGACACTATTGTGGGAGGGGGCAGAGGACATTACTGTGGTTGGTGATGTGGGGAAGGGGGCCAGAAGACACTATCATGACACACTGTGTTCTTCATGCCATCTTTTTATTGGGTGGTTTGAAAAATTTACCCCACATCCTGGGATCTTTGATCTCTTCCATGTTGTTCAGGTTGATCTTCACCTCCCAAAGCTTGCTTACCCCTGTTTTATACCATTAAAGTGTTTCTTTTTTCATGAAATAAGTGTGATGGATTAATTTTTGGCATCAGATGTTTGCAGTGCCATATCCTTAGTATTAAGTCCATGGATTTTATGCAATAAATTGATGTATTTCGACATGGACCCCACAGTCCCATCACAGTTATTCATTAATTGTCTTTTGTTACAACAAATGCAGTTATAATTTGCATTTGCTTAATAGTATTATTAAGTCTTACTGACATTGCTTTTTCCCAGTGAATAAATTGACTCCACATTACTCATTGTTGGTTCAAGTCATGTGCTTGAAAGATGGCACTGGTCTGCAGTTAGGAGGCATCCAGTTTCCCGTGGATTTTCCTGAACAAAACTGCTGCCTTGGTTGGAATGTTATAGCCAGCTAATCTTTGGAAGGGATAATGCTTCAGGAAGGATTTAAATAAGATGTTGAGAATGTGCGGTCAGATGTTTATACCTATCATTTCCCCGCGTGGTCATCACCATGGTAACGCACAGCAAGTTTCAAAATTTCTGAATAAAGAGCACACTTTGCCCTGTCTGGTCTGAGAGGATCAGCAAAGCTGAAATCCCAGAGAAGCCATTGAGAGCATTCATAGTGGGATTGTGGTTGCAAAGCTTTTATTGAGAGGCAGACCCCAGGCCAGGAGGCAGTTTAACGGCTTACAAACTGTGGTATGATACAAAAAAAAAGTAGTGAAAAGGTGGAAGACTTTACTCCAGCCTTGTCATCCCCAGTTATACTAGCTTTTAGCTGTTGATCAGTATTGTATGGAAGGTTGCACCAATTATTTCTTTCTTCCTGTAGGTTTTAATGGGCCCCAGTGTCAATATGATATAGACGAATGTGCCAGTACACCATGCAAGAATGGCGCCAAGTGTTTGGATGGGCCAAATGCCTACACCTGCAAGTGTGCTGAAGGTAACACACCAGTTTGGCAGCTACCCTTAAATATAGCAATTTCTGTGTGGGGTTTTTTTTTTTCCTGGTTTTGGTTTGTTTTTTTTGGTTTTTTAACGAAGGTAAAGTCTTACTATGATGACTTGGCAATTATCAATATGCATTTTCAGCTATGGGTGCCATCTTTGAGCAGTCTGCATGGAGTTTGTATGTTCTCCTGTGTTTCTGTGGGATGCTTCCTTCAATCACACTAATTGTTTAACTGGCTGGATTTAAAAGAAATGCATCTGTTGTACTGTGTCACTGACCAGAAACAAGCATACAGCTAACAGTCAGAGTGAAGTCGGAATTCTGGTTTCCTTATTATTCCAGATCAGTAACTCAGAGGGTACTGGGTTATATGGATCAGCATGACAGCCAGGCAACTATGAAAGTGCTAGACTATTTTGCGCCCTAGGCGAGACCAGCTACTTGCAACTCCCCCCAAAAAAAAAATTCACCTGTACTTCTGCTTCACCCCTCTAAGCACACATCCTTTTTCCCCTCAAATTTTCCACCCTAGCACAAATCCTCTTCCCCAAATCCCCCCTCCTAGCATAAATCCCCCAGTCCTGCCTCCTCACACAAATCCCCCTAAATCCCTCCTCCTAGCGAAAACCCACTCCAAATTACCCTTCCCAGCACCAATCCTTTCTCCCCACCTAACTCCCCCCTCCTAGCACAAATCACCCCCTCCTAGCACAACTCCTCCCAATCCCCCTCCTAGCACAATTTCCCTCATCCCCTTTCCTAGAACAAATTCCCCCAAATCCCCCCTTCTAACACAAATCCCCCCCCCCATCCTCTCTCCTAATACAAATTCCCCCCAATCCCTCCTCCCAGCACCAATCCTCTTCAGTCCCCCCCACCTAAAACAAATTCCCCCAAATCCCTCCCACCCACCCCAGCACCTCCCCTAGATCGGCCATGGTGGAGAGTAGGAAAACCAGCGGCTGTGGCTGCGCCCTAGGTGGCAGTGCCTAGTTCACCTAGTGGTAGCACTGGTCCTGGGTGTATATTTCTTTTAAAGTACATCTAAAGCCAAATCCTTTTGTGCTTTTCAGATTTGGTTGATGTGTTTAAGGGTTAGATATATTTGCTTTTATTACTGTCTGTGTCACTGATGGGGTTTCAGTCTCTATTGTTCTGGTCGCCGTTGTCACTTAAATAAAAAGTGAACATTTTAGTGGCCATTGGAACTGGAAGAGAAGGCAAATCTTTCAATGGGGACACCTGTTCTGGTGATATTGATCTGAAAAAAGAAAAAAAAGGACTTGCCCTTGTTTTTGAGTGACACCCTCTACCTTCCTGTTGGATCTCTGGAAGTGAAAATCTCCCCAACTTGAAACAGACAGTAGTTTAATCCACTTTCTTTTATGTCCATTAAAAAAGGTTTTGGCTTGGCAGTCCTCGGGGGCAAAGACAAATGGGTATGACAATATAAATCAGCAATTGATAAATCATTTAATCTACAACCCATTTCTTAACAAAAAAAAAGTGAGGTTTCAAGTTTGATACCTTAAACAGCCAGATTGCAGAAAACCCTGTTCTATGCAGTAATAGGCAGGAGAATATAAGCCAAGTAGCACTTTTGGAAAGGGATCTATTGCAGCAGATGTCTCCGGCTCTAGTGTCACAATTAGAGCCAAAGCAGACAGCTTTCCAAGTGGAGTGCAGGGCAAAGGTGTCGCCAGCAAAGAGGCCTCCTATTCTATTCTGCTTTTGTGCCTCATCCTTTTTCTCCCTGGAGCTGTGAGCTTTTTCCATGCACAGACAAAAAAAGACGCGGGAAAAAGTTTGAGGCAGCTTTAGAAAACAGCAAGGGCCTTTCAGGGCTGCAGGCGGAGCTGCCTCAATGGCATGAGCCGAGAAAGGGGGATAATGGTGCTTTTGTTGTGCAGCTCATGCTGGAGATGGCTCACAGCTGAATAACTTCTAATCAGGCTCATATGAATGCCAGCAAGTGAGCTATGAAAGCTGCTCTATCCTCTCACACCACTCACGATTTTACCTTGTCCTCTGTGAGTGCAAAAAGCTTTCTAAAGTATTTTGTAAACCATCAAAATGTTCTATTTATGTATTTATCATTTTACTTGTTTACATGTAACTGCAACAATTTGGCCCATGACAATAAGCATTATTTTCCTGTGTTTGACGTTCGTTTGTGGCGCACATCAAATGCAAGTTATCAAAATCCTATAGACTTTGAAAAGCAAGTGCAGCGTTTGACACCTGTCCACATGAGCTCTAACTTTTTAACTTTCACATATTTTTTTTTTTTAAGTTAAAGTTAAACTTGGAAACATCTGAGTTCTGCAGTCTGTCTATGAAACTATGTAGATTATTTATTTTACTTCTTTTGTAGTATAAACGTATCTATGGAATATACTAGCTTGACTGCTTTGTTTTAAAGAATCCTCATTTCTATGTTACAAAAAAAATGGTTGATTTTTTTTTTTTTTTTTTTTTTTTCATTGTAGAGTTCAGGAGTCATCCAGGCAGGCTATAGGAGCAAACTTCATTAGAAGGCAGGGAATACTTGCTTCACTAGGCAGAAATTACAAGTGCTTGGAAGTAAAACAAAAAAAAATCTAGGAACAAAGTGTAACATAGAGATACATGTCTGATGTGTTCTACTTCTGGTTTCCAGGTTTTACTGGGACGCACTGCGAGACTGACATAAATGACTGCCTCCCAGACCCCTGCCACTATGGTACCTGCGTTGATGGCATTGCCACTTTCACCTGCCAGTGTAGACCTGGGTTTACCGGGCGGCTGTGTGACACTGATATTTACGAATGCCAAAGCATGCCTTGTCAGAATGGAGGGGAATGTGTGGATAAGGTTAACGGCTACATGTGTCAGTGCCTAAAGGGGACCTCAGGTAAGTGCCCTCATCTATCTGCCACTGTTCACTTTTCCATTTATTATATTGTATCATGGCTGACTTATAAAGACCGAGAGACAGAGCACTAGTGAAATCTGAAATTTAGCTGATATTAATATTTAAAGGAAAAGCAACTTCACTTAAAAAAAAAAAAAAAAAACCTATCGTAGTGGGTGAAGCCCAGTAGGGTTTGTTTCTCCTTCTGGGTTCTTAATGTTTGGTTCACAGCTACCTTGACAGCTGTACAACTGAGGTTATACATATGCGTTGTGCATATATTCAGAGAATACCATGAGAAGATGCATAATAAAGCAAGTGTGTGGATACATGGGTAATGGTAGGTTTCATCTCAACAGTGAAGAGCTTCAATCTGTAAATGCGGCAAACAGTAAATTACATTTTGGGCAAAACTGTCCATGTATGTCATATGATAGATCAGTAGCATTTGTCCAAATATGAGAAATTCCAGACTTTTTTTTTTTTAAGCAACAAGGTGCAAATGCATTTACAACGTGTAACCGCCATGCTATGTGTGACCGTATAAATATCTCTAAAAAATCCAAAATTTCATGCAACTGAATAAATAAATATTACATCCTATGATCAAGGTGTTGTGGACTCAAACATCTATAAATGTGTGAATAAGTAAATAAAATATTGTTTGTTCACACATTTATTGATGCACTATTATTGACGAATGTTTGAGTTCACAACACCTTGATCATAGAACGTAATATTTATTTATTCAGTTGCATGAAATTTGTGATTTTTTTTTTAGGTCACACAACGCAGTTACATGTTTTATCTTTTAGACCATTTGTCTTTTAGTAACTGCAACATTTGTTGTCCATTTACTTATCTAGTTGGTGCAGATTCTTCTTCTTTGTAAAGTGCAAATGCAGCAGGAGTGTTCAGTAACCCACAGCAACCCAAAAGTGACTCTGTAACTGTTGTAAAATGCTCCCTGTGAAGCACACAATTATTGTCCCATTACCTGCACCACTGAACTCTTCAGCCTCCCTCGCAGTAATGTTGAATCCCTGTTGTCTCCCCTGTGCCCCGTTGTTTCCTTTGGCAGGTCTTTATGTCAATTCTGTAAAGTAGAGGCTGGAAGATAAAACCACAGTAGAGTACAGTAGGTGACACAGGTATCTGACACTCCCAGAAGCATGAATGCAGAAGATTTTTCAGTATGCTTCTTCCTTCAACACAGCAGAGTTTGGTGGTGCGAGAAAGGGTTTTCTTTACAGGGAGAATTCCTTGTCGACCTCTTAAAATTGTTTAAATGTGCATCTACAGGAGACTGAAAAGTGGTTGCTTTGGGGTACAGCAGTTTTTGCTAAAACTTCACATATTCCCTAGGTCCCAGTGATGACTAGTGAATTTGTTAAATAAAAAAAAAAATGGGATTCCTCTGACCAATGGATTTTTTTTTTCTGTTTTTTTAAAGGTACAAACTGTGAGATCAATTTGGACGACTGTGCCAGTAACCCATGTGACTCTGGCAAATGCATTGATAAAATTGACGGCTATGAGTGTGCCTGTGAACCTGGATACACAGGTAATGTTAAATTGAGCATTTAAACTGGCCTGGCCATACATGATATTAGATTTACCATATGTAAATACATAAATATGAAGACATATCTATACACCCTATTTTTATGTAATCTGGTAAGCACCAAGTCTAAAGATCTAAAGCTGATTGTACAATCTGATTGTAAGCGTAGGAGGCTGTATTAGTAAATCTTACCCAGTAATGTGTCGTCTCGTTGAGAAAGCGGGTGGACAGAAAGTGTTTTTCTTTTTTTTTTTTTTCTTTATCTCTCTTATTTAAACAGAGAGGGGAAAGCTCATATCATTTTTCTGCTTCGTTTCTAGTTTTGAGGCCTCAGTCCCAGGAAGTGGTGTGTGAACCCAGTGGGATGGAGGACCGCTGTAGGGACCAACGTTTGCCATTAGTGATTCCAGACTATTCAGCTCAGTTAAAGGATCAGGTTTCTAAGCTTGTCTGACTGGTGTGCAGTTAGGGGAAGCTAATAAGATTCCTTAATTAAGCAAGACCCCTTTCTATGGCTCACTGATCACCTGTGCAGAGCCTAAATATATAAAACTCTCCTCACTGTCCCTCATCTGTCCCGTGATCAATAGACGCTTTTATTTCGGTGTGTATGTCCCATCCAAGGCCTCTGTAACAGGAGAGTAGGAGCAAAAGGTAACTCAAGGAACAGAGAGGACAAGCCTAATGCAAAACAAGTTCATTCTGTGAAATACTGCATTGCTTCTTTTGTAATTTAGCTTTTCTGAATGACTGCAAGACATAACCCCAACATAGGGACAAAAATGTGCCTGCGGCAGAATTGTGTAATTTTCAGCAGTTACAAACCGAGAATATAGGAACCACACCCCCACCCCAGCACATCTTGCCCATCTGTGGCGGGTGGGCACAGACATGATTCAGCTTGGCAGGTTTAACTGACAAGCTAGTATGCATATTACGTCCCTTATTCACAAATAGATATAAAATAGTTTCCAGGTTATACTTTATCTAATCACTAAAATGTTTTTTAGTCTAATTCAATACGTCTTCTACAGGAAAAATGTGCAACATCAACATCGATGAATGTGCCAGCAACCCGTGCAGCCACGGAGGGACCTGTGAAGACCTTGTCAATGGCTTCAAGTGCACCTGTCCTGAGGGCTTCCAGGGACATACGTGTATGTCCGAAGTAGATGAGTGCCGCAGCAACCCTTGCATCCACGGGACATGCCGCGATGGGGTCAACGGGTAATTTGACAATCCTATACGGCTGTGTAGAGCCAGTTTGTTGGTGTGAAATTTCATTTTTTTTTTCATTACAAATATTGACCTGTGGCTGTACCCACAGCAGTGGGTGCAGGAAAATCAATTTTTGACCCATGACAGCCATTTACAGCAAAGATTTCTCTCTCATCAATTAAAGTGTATATATGAATGGTAACCTGGAAATAGGTGCACAGTGTCTTCTACTGTATTTTAGGTTTCAGCAGTGACTCTTTACTGTCTGCTTTTTAGGTACAAGTGTGATTGTGGCTCAGGTTGGAGTGGCACCAACTGTGACATTAACAACAATGAATGTGATTCCAATCCCTGTATGAACCAAGGCACCTGCAAGGACATGACTAGTGGCTACATCTGTTCTTGTAGAGAAGGATTCACTGGTGGGTATGAGAACGTCACCAATGGCTCAAGGCAGTTTTGTAGTACAAACATGAGGGAAATGTACATGTGAAATGCATACATTTTGTGTTACTGGATTAATCAGTGGGCAGTGTATGCATATAATGGTCCATGTAGTAAGCTCAGTGGAAAATTGTTCACAAAAGGAATGCAGTTGTATATTGAAAGGGTTCTTTACGGTAACAGCTGTGAAAATGTAGAATAGTTACCACTGGAAATGGTTCTTGCAAACTCAGTAGCTTCATGAAAGGCTTGGATGTGTTTCTAAATGCACAAAATATCAAAGGCTACTAATATTTGCAAAGGAAATGACACTGCAGAACAATTTATCCAAATATCTTTTGGCCATTAGGAATTTAAGAGAATTTGGACACACTTTATAAGTGTTTCCTAGATTTTCTGCAAACAACTGTGGGTTTAGATTTTTTTTGCAGAATTACTCAACAGACAGGTGCCTTTTTTATTTCAGTGATTTATTTATGTACAATTTTGTCTTCTCACAGGAGTAAACTGTCAGACCAACATTAATGAATGTGCATCAAATCCTTGCCTGAACCAAGGCACATGCATAGACGGGGTTGCTGGATACAAGTGCATTTGCCCACTGCCCTACACTGGTAAGCCACCAATCCAGGATAGATCCTTCATCTTTTAAAGTAACATTACAGCAAACTTAAGTAGCAAAGCAGAAACTAAAAACCTTGCTATGTTAAATGCAATGGTAAAGTCATTCATTGCTGCCTCCCTGTTGCAGAAATTGGAACTGGGATGACACCATCTTCTTTTACTTTGTCACTTGTGGGCATGCTATTCTTTTCCTGAGTAGATAGCATTTTCTCCAGTGAAAAAGTACCCTCATCCCTGCCAATATGATTTCCCTGTGTTTTGACCTCCAGTAATTACATGCTGTTTGTATACAAGAAACTATGATCAGGCATTCGCTGCTTATGTTATTACATTACTGCAAAAGACAATAATAACTAGGATATTAGGAAGTCACAGCTTGAGTTGGGAAGCCATGTTCAAAAGAATGGTTCATGTGCGACTCCTTCCCCAACAGCCAGTTGTCGCCTCACAGTATTGTATGCCCTTGTTTACTATCAAAACTGTATTGATTTTACATCCTGGGATAAGTGTGGGACATGTAGTCACAGCAATATTGTGATGGTGAAATAAGTTCCATAACAAGTCCGCTTTGAATCTCATTGATCATGGGCTTTATCCATGAGATGAAAAGAGACAAAATCATCCCTTAAAAGAAAAAAAGCCAAGCCTTGTTTTTCCGGCACCGTTCATTGTTCTGCCCTTACGAAATAAGAGGAAAATATTTTGCTTGGAAAAAGACGACGAGCCTCGTGCTCTTTTTCCAGCAACATTTTTTACATTGTTTTTCATGAAAACAGGCTGAAATCCTCTCTGGAAATCCTTCCGAGATGCTTTCAGGGGCCTCTGGGTGGAAAAATCGCCTCTACGCATATTTTGTTCTGCTCTTTTGACAGAGGCCAACAACCACAGTACCCATTCTGGCCTCCATGGGGCGGATAAGGGTTATTTTGACAGATATGCAATGGCTGGGAACTGGTCCCAGTCAGATCCTGCGTGTTCGCTTCCTGCTTCCCCTTCCATTAAAATGGCTGTATGGACAATCGCAGGAAGCTGCAGTGAATTTCCTGACTGATCCTGGTCTCCACAGCAACTAAAGGGATCATGGAGGTTTTGGAAAGCGGCCACTGCCAAATAGAGAGAGTAGCTAGCAAAAAAATAAGTTACATGCTATGTATATAACTACATGTGCTTGCAGTTAGACCTTACTATAGTGTCATGTATTATTGCAGGCGGAACAGTTAATGGGCCAATCCATGCAAAAATTATATTTTAGTGCATAGAAGTTAACTAAAAATTACAAATAAAACACTTGTGCTTGGCTTCAAAAAGATTAATTTAAAAACCTATAAAAAAAAAGCAGCTAGTACATGTGGATAAACACATCATATAAAACCAGTGGTCTCCAAACTGCGGCCCTTTGCTTGCTTTTATCTGGCCCTTGGGGCACCATATCATCCACTGATACCAACAATGGGAATAATTCCTGCACTGACACCAATGAAGGGGCACAGTTCCTTCCAATGAAACCAATGATGGTGCACTATTTCCCTCAATGACACCACAATGGGTCACAATTCCTCCCACTGACACCAAAGATGGCGCACGGTCTATTCCCACTGATGTCAGGACCTATTCTACTCAAAATAGCCAAAGTCTGCCCACCCTAAAGTTCGAAGGACAGTAAATTGGTCCTTTGTTTAGAGAGTTTGGAGACCCCTGATATAATCTAGAGTAAAACATGCAGTGCTATCAATTTACAGATAACCAAAACTGGTAAGCATATAACCCCACCACAAAGGTATGGAAGAGTGCATACCACACAGGTATGAAAAAGAGTGCAAACACATAGGGACAAATCAATAACATAACTCCATACAATTGCTCTTAGATCTGTAGTTGCTGGTGCTTGTAAGGTGAGACAAAAAACAGAAGTCCTCCACCGTCACCCCAATCATACATCCTCTTATCAAAGGGATTTGACCACCATACAGAATGCTCAAATAGTGCAGTTTTAAACCTCCAGATAAGAATCATCAATCTGTTCACTGTATAAGCACTCTTCTTCCAAGTCCGGTGTCAGATAAACCAGATCTTTTCTCAAGATAACATACAATAAAGAGAGAGCAAGGCCATCTCATAGTGTAGTAAAACCGAAAAAAGTAGTTTATTCAAAGTATTGCACTTACAGTAATCAGTATAAAAACCAGCATTTCACAAAAGATGTTTCAAACCAACAAGATGGCCACAGTCTGTGCCAGTGTGCAATGATGTCACATACCGTGACTCCACCCAGGAGTCTTAAATGTATGTCATCTTGAGAAGAGATCTGGATTATCGGACACTGGACTCGGAGAGTGCTTATACAGTGACTGAATTGATTCTTATCTGGAGGTTTAAAATGTCGCTATTTGAGCATTCTGCAGGGTGGTCACATCCCTTTTGGTAAGAGGCTGTATGGTTAGGGTGACGGTGGAGGATTCTTCGGGGGGGTTTTTCTCACTTCTAAGCACTAGCACCTACGGATCTATGAGATCTATGAGCAATTTCATGGACTTATGTTATTGATTTGTCCCTATGTGTTTGCACTTTTTCATACCTGTGTGGTATGCACTCTTTCATACTTTTTTGGTGGGGTTATATGTTTACCAGTCTTTGTTATCTGTATATTGATAGCACTACACTTATCACTCTCCAGCATAGAAGTTGCTGGAGAGAGCAACACCCTGGAAATCTCTTGGTGACTCCTTTGGTGAAATCTATATTCTAAGTTCTCAGGGATGCATGCCTGCTGTTTTAATTTATTATGGTCTCCCTCCAGCTCTCTCAGGTTTTCATTTATTTTTCATTGTGAAGAATGTAACAGGAATGCCTGAAACACTAATATCAGTCTGGAGCTCTAAACCCTAACTTTATTTCCCCATATAAATGTGATATAAAAGTGTTATCTTCTGTTTGGCTTTACTGCTATCTGTATTTGTTTGTTAGAGGGATTTTTACAAATTTTCTGTCTTAATGACAGTTGTTACTGAAACGGGGAGTAGGAGCAAATCTCCCACCTTTCCTGGGACAGATGTGATTGTTAAAATCTCCTCTGTCATGTACCAGGACAGGAAATGACACAGCAATAAAACCTAGACAGGGATGCATATTTTTCCCTACTTACGCCATAAAACAAGGCCCCAAAAAGCTCTATGTTAATGTTCTGCTTTTCTGTTTGCTATGTACTGTAGCTTTCATTAATTTCTCAGCATACTGAGCTAAAGCTTGCTTTCTTGCCAGGGGAAACATGTGGAGATGTTCTGGCACCATGTGGTAACAGCCCATGTAAGAATGGAGGCAGATGTCAGGAGTCTGAAGACTATGAAAGCTTCTCCTGCATTTGTCCTATGGGATGGCAAGGTTTGTATATAAATCCATCTACTAAATCACTTGCATCTGTCACAATACTGTTCAAATATTAAAACAACCTAAGCTCATGCCTTCTCAATATAAAGCAAAATGGCTGACCTCAACAACAAGAGATCACTTAAAGTATGCATATTGTCCTTTAGAGGATAGTTATTGTTCATAAGCTTTGATATTTGGATGGAAAGTCTTGCAGCTCTTTTAAGTATGATTGATCTTCCACCTGCAACTCAAACGTTCTTCTAAAAAATAGAAATTCTTGAATGCTAAAATCTAAATGTACTTAACTACTTTACCCCTCTTTGTAAATTGGTACATCTTTTCACAAAGGGCAAACCTGTGAGATTGACATCAATGAATGTGTGAAAAACCCTTGCCGAAACAGTGCTTTGTGCCAGAACACTAATGGAAGCTACAAGTGCAACTGTAAACCTGGTTACACCGGCAGGAACTGCGAGACGGATATCAACGACTGTCTGCCCAGTGAGTGTCAATTGATCAGTTCAAAAATAAATTTGAGCATGTCCCTGGGTTATTTTTTTTTTCTTTTAACTTGTTTCTCTAGGAAGAAACAGCTCCTATTACTTCCTGTGACATCATTACTGGGTTTGTAAAATCCTGGCTGGGGCATCTGCTGGGTGCCCAGTCCCTAATAGTAGAGAGCTACATTTCCAAAGAACTTGTTCCCTACACAGTGCATAGGCAGACTCTTGGCAGACAAGACAGCAGCATTGCTTTTTTTTGGGGGGGGGGGGTTGGGGTTTTTTTTTTTCTGACAAAGCATTCAATGTATGCATATGGAGAAGGACATGAGGGGTGGGAGATAAATGAAGTTCTGTAGTCCATCAGGTAGTGCTAACAGCATTGGTTGGGATTACAGTGCACAGTATTGTAAGTGCAAACATTAAATTGATAGCACACTGAATTTCTGGCAGATCAAGCCATATTTTTCTGTACTTGTAGTGTTTTCACTGAGGCATGAGGGAGTGTGCATGTTTTGCAGATATGTATTAAATATCTGAATTTGTTGTTGCGCTCTGGCAGACTAATTATTTGCTTTTGTGGCATTTTGTGTCTCATCGTCATTATTTATTTATCCCATTTTTAGATCCCTGCCACAACGGAGGTTCCTGCACTGATGGTGTTAATGATTTTTTCTGCAACTGTTTGCCGGGCTTCCGTGGGCCAAAATGTAACGAGGACATTAATGAATGCGCTAGCAACCCATGCAAAAATGGTGCCAACTGCACCGACTGCGTCAACAGCTACACTTGCACTTGTCCATCTGGATTTAGTGGCATCCACTGTGAAATCAATACACCTGATTGCACTGAAAGGTACTACTGTCTTTGACGTTATTATTGGTTGTGAGTTTTCACTAGAAATTAATTATTTTAGTGGTCATTCTCTAGGATGCTTCAAATTTGGCCAACAAGATAAGCATCACAACTGTCTTTTATTTTTTTTATTGTATAAATAATTTGTACTCTACTAGCGAAAGGGTGCTTATTCTAAGGCAGGAAGGATCATCATTTCCAGAATTTTTATTATCTGCCAGTCAGGTTCAAAGAGTTATGAACAGGCCTTGTATTTAGCTTGTGCTGCCCTGTGGGTGGGCTTACAGCACAATAATGGTTAACAGCTGAGTGGTCAGGTAAGAGTGAGAACAGATCACAAATTCCGTTTTGGCAGGCACAATTAGTTTATATATAATATATATTTTACAACATTGAATCGTTTTTTGGCTTGTAACATGTTCCAGTCCCTAACTCCAGGAGCTGTGATAGGCAGGCAGAGGGAGAGCATTTCAGCTAATTTAATAAATTGTTCTTGGGGCGGGGGCATCGTAGGAGAGGAGGAAATTGTGTGAGCAGGAGGAAGGGTAATGGTTGTTGCCTGCAGAAACTGCAAATGGCAGAAAACTAAAATTTACCTTCAATAGGGTTAATCCACCTAAAATTTATATTTTCATTATAGACAGGGATTGCTTTGCCAAGTTAGCTCCTGGCTTCTTATAAGGCATGGATACCCAGAAATGAGATCTCCCTGCCATAATTCCCAACACTTTTGTCTTCCTGGAGGTTTGGGTGTTCCCATCTTCCTGTGTTTGTCGCAGATCCTCCTACATTTTTCATATTAAATATTTTAACAAATCCATCAGGAATGGTGAAACACCCCCATAATGGTCACAACATCTATGCAGACCCAGGAACTCAGGTGCTTTCAAGGTTTTAGCTCCCCATCATCCACCAAACACAGAAATAACAGATTTGTTGGGTGTAACCTTTTAAATAACTTACTGATAAAAGTATGCAATAAAACTTTGCTTCCTATTTCCAGCTCTTGCTTCAATGGTGGGACTTGCATTGATGGCATCAACACATTCACCTGCCGCTGTCCGCCTGGCTTTACAGGGAGCTACTGCCAACATGATATCAATGAGTGTGACTCCAAACCCTGCATGAATGGGGGAACATGCCAGGACAGCTATGGCACCTACAAGTGCACCTGCCCTCAGGGGTATACTGGAGTAAATTGTCAGGTACGTATGGAATCCCTTGTTTAACTCTATGAACAAAGAGTCTGAACCCAGACAAGTTATCAACTTGTGAGTTTTTCAGTTATGTGCACCAACAGTAATAGGTTTCATTTTAACTTTGAACAGAATTTGGTTCGTTGGTGTGACTCCTCCCCCTGTAAAAATGGAGGAAAATGCTGGCAGACAAATAATCTGTATCGATGTGAATGCAACAGTGGCTGGACTGGACTGTATTGCGATGTGCCAAATGTCTCATGTGAGGTGGCTGCCCTACAGCGAAGTGAGTCAAGAACCTAATGGGGACAATACCTCTGCATAAGATTAAAAGCCCAACTCCAGGAATAACTGGTTTTGTTAATTTTTCTATAGCGTGCGGCAAGAATAGAACCTCTGTTGTTTGTATTGGTGTGTGTCTCCTTTGGGGAGATATTTCCTCAGTTTGGGTCAGGTGGTGGGATGCCACAAAGAATTGAATGGGATATCTCGCTGATGGGGTTAGATCAGGGTTTCTCAACCAGGGTTCCATAGAATCTGAGGTTCCTCCAGAGTTTGTTAGGGGGTTCCTTAAGCGGTAAGCAATTTCTGCCTCTTAAATAAGTTTCCACTGACACCATTTATCTTTTATCTATCTGTAAAGGGGTAGTTCCTTCCAATGACCACAAGTGTAAAGAGCATTCTTCCCAATGACCAACCCACTAATGTACTCTATTCGGAGTTGTAGATATAGTGGGAACATTGCATGGGTACCACTGTGTTGAAAAGGTTGAGAAAGGCTGGGTTAGATAAAGCATCAAAAGCAACAAAAAACATTTATTTAGTAGAGTGGGCAGGGATAAGATCTTTTTGTTTTGTTGTATGTGTCTTTCTGTTCAGGTGACATCCACATTTTCTCATTTCTTGTAATGGTGTCACCCAGACTAGAAGCAAATGGAAATCCTCCAAGTGAGGACACAGCAGTAAAATTGAGAGAGGTTCTGACTCTTCTCTACTTTATCAAAAATGAAAACAAAGTTAGGGCTTGAATTGGGCTTTAATAATGAATTTGGGCTCAGGAAGGTTTCTGTACAAGCTGCCTTTTTCTGCTGGATTCCCACTAATTTGAACATTTTTGTTTCTTTTAGATGTGGATGTTAACAATCTGTGCCGCAATTCGGGGTCATGTAGGGACACTGGGAATACTCATTACTGTTTGTGCCAGCCTGGTTATACAGGAAGTTACTGTGAGGAGCAGGTGGACGAATGCTCTCCCAATCCATGCCAGAATGGAGCTACATGTACGGACTACCTAGGAGGCTACTCTTGCGAGGTGTGCCATCTCCTTGATATCTTACCAGTGATACAAAACTTGGTTCCTGACAAGTCAGAGGTCATTGGAGTGTATAGAATGATGCTGATTACATATTTTTTGCCTCTTCCAGTGTGTAGCTGGATATCATGGCGTTAACTGCTCAGAAGAGATCAATGAATGCCACTCTCACCCTTGCCAGAATGGAGGAACTTGTATTGATCTTATCAACACTTACAAGTGCTCCTGTCCCAGAGGAACACAGAGTGAGTCAGAAAAAGATCCCTTTGAAATTCTCTCTGATTAATATATTTCTTTTTGGATGTCAGTAGAATTTTTACTTTCTTATACCTTTAGTGAAAACTGCATATAGGAGTGTTGTCTTGCTAATAGAAGAAAAAAATGTTTGCTTTCAAAGAGGACCAGTCATTCTGAATTATTAAAAATGAAAACTACACAGATGTACTTCCACATCCATAAAGTATTTTTGTTATTGTTTTCATATTTCAGGTGTTCATTGTGAAATTAACATAGATGACTGCAATCCATTTTATGAAGGACCAAACCATGAGCCTAAATGTTTCAATGGGGGCAAATGCGTTGACCGGGTAGGTGGCTACCACTGTAACTGCCTGCCAGGTTTTGTTGGAGAACGCTGTGAAGGAGATGTAAATGAGTGTCTGTCTAACCCTTGTGATGTCCGTGGAACGCAGAACTGCGTGCAGCTCATTAATGATTACCGATGTGAATGCAGGCAGGGGTTCACAGGTAAGACACAACCCTTGTGTGTTTGTGACCCTTTTTTGTGCAGTTTATTTGAGCTTTTGAGCTTACATTTTGTTACTTTTCTCCCAGGGAGACGCTGTGAGTCACTGCTTGATGGTTGCAAAGCGAAACCTTGTAGAAACGGAGGAACCTGTTCTATCGCCAGTAATACGGAACGTGGTTTTATCTGCAAGTGTCCATCAGTAAGTATAAATAGGTTTAGTGTGTGAAAACTATAAACGGGGTAAATATGTGCGGGGATTAATTAATTATCATTTGTTAAATCATGTAGCCCATTATCTAACTTTATAGTCACATAGGAACCATTTCTTCTTCTTTTACCCCTTGTCTACTTGGGGAATATTGTCCATCAAAGTATACAAACTGTTTCATTTGCCATGGTCAAGCAAGCAAAACGGGAAACCCTATTTAATTTTTTCACATATTTGTTTTAAATCTAAAGTGGGGTATACACTCTGGTTTTTTTTTTTTTTTCTCATTCAGCCAATGGGTTGAACAAAAAAAAAAAACTCAGATTCCCACATCAACACAAGTGATGTGGATACAGGAATTTCTCCTGCTGTGTCTTTGTATTATGACAGCGGGGACAGTGGCTGTCGTTCAGCAGCGGCACACACATACCACAAGCCATGCGGTCGTTGCATGCATACCCAGCTTATGTTAATTGCAGTCATTTATCTGTAAAGGTAAAATTAACCCAGCTGGCATATGAGGCCAGAGGTTGTATCATGTTTCAGTTCTTGTGAGCAATCTTCCACATCCTCTAAAATCAAACTGCATTGCCCGCAACATTCTTACTATCTCAAATGAGTTTTGCTAGATCATAAAGGCATTCATGTAGAAGTGAGAAGGCTGGTTCTCCTTTTGTAATTGTTTACTGCATATGAAGAACACCTCCTTAACCTCACTCTAATTTGAGGCTTAATTCTTTAGTTTCGCTTTATGTTTAAAGGTTTTGATCTCTTTACCTAAATTTGTCAATCTTGTTTACATTTTTTTCAATGATGTGGATAATTGTGCAATTTAACAGTGAACGTAGATTTAATGTTAAAAATGTATTCTAAAAAAACCCCCAAATAACTCAACTAGGAGCGCAGTATTTTTGGGGTGTTGGCCAATTCATACCCTTGCAAGCAGATCCTCCATATGATAGGTTAAAACAAGGTTTTCGAAACAATATTGGTAGTGATAAGATTATTTACATTAAGCTGATATCTTTCACGTGTGTGTGTGTGTAGTCTGCACCTTCCTTTTTAAATGAATGGAATGAATTATTGAATATCTTTGTTGCAGGGATTTGATGGCGCTACTTGTGAATATGATACTCGCATGTGCGGAAACCTGCAGTGTCTGAATGGTGGCACCTGTATATCTACTATAAAGAGCCCCAAATGTTTGTGTGCTGATGGATTCACTGGTCTGGGGTGCCAACATGCAGTCAGCAGTTCTTGTAATCCAAACTCTTGCTATAACGGTGGCACATGCAAGTCCCTTCCCCAGGAGCCGTTTTATCAGTGTATCTGTCCCAGGCATTTTAACGGTCTCTTTTGCCACATCCTGAACTACGAATTTGAAGGCGGTCCAGGCCAGGACATTATTCCACCCAAAATCAATGAGAAGTGCGAGAGCGACTGGTGTGCTGCACAAGCTGGGAACAAGATCTGCAATGCTCAGTGCAACAGTAATGCCTGTGGATGGGACGGAGGAGACTGCTCACTTGAATTCAATGACCCATGGAAGAACTGCTCGCAGGCACTGCAGTGCTGGAAGTACTTCAACGATGACAAATGCGACTCACAGTGCAACAATGCAGGCTGCCTCTATGATGGCTTTGATTGCCAGAAAATTGAAGTCCAGTGCAAGTAAGTTGATTATAAACATAAATGATAATCTGTTGTAAAAGAAAAAGTTATGCTTAGAAATTTTAAAACAGGCTCTAGCCACATAGTAATTGTGATAATAGTACAATGTATTAAAGTAGAACTCCATAGGTAAAATTCAGATAAGCAAAGATTAACATTTATCTCACATTTAAAAAAAAAAAAAATTGTCCTGATTTTGGAAACTTGTATTTCCCTTGATTTTGCAGACTTTCTTATTGTTTCCTTTTTCTCTCTTCCAGTCCTCTTTATGACCAGTACTGCAAAGACCATTTCCAGGACGGGCACTGTGATCAAGGCTGCAACAATGCTGAGTGTGAATGGGATGGTTTGGATTGCGCCAACAACATGCCTGAAAAACTTGCAGATGGCACCTTGGTGGTGGTGGTCCTGATGTCTCCAGAGGAGCTGAAAAACAATTCCTTTAATTTCCTCAGAGAGCTGAGTCGGATTCTGCACACCAATGTTGTCTTTAAGAAGAATGAAAACAGCGACTATATGATCTTCCCATACTATGGAAACAAGGAGGAGCTTAAGAAACATCATATTAAACGATCTGTGCCAGAGTGGTCTGAGGCCCCCAGTGCCATATTCAGCAGTTTGAAGGATTCATTGATCCCTGGACGGTATCGGAGGGAATTGGACCAGCTAGAAGTAAAAGGGTAAGCAAAGTTTTTATTTACTTATCAACCAAATATCCAGTACCGATGTATCCACTAATAACTTCCACAGTAGTGAGATTTCCCTAAAATGATTTGTCCCTGCCCCTACATAGTGGAGTAGTTTACTAGAACCTGTCCTACAATTATGGAATCTCCCACAGTAGCTTGTGCATCCACCCCTCTCAAAAGTATGGGATGTCCCTGCAGTAGTCCATGCCTCTGACCCTCCAACAGTAATGACATTTTCCTGCAGTAGTTTGGGTCTGTGCTCCCCACACAGTGGTGAGATTCCCAGTAGTTTGTGTCTCTACTCCTACAACATGAGATTTCTCTGCTTGTCTGCTCCACTCCCTCCACAATGGTGAGATTTCCCTGCCATAGTTGTGCAGAGTTGACTCCCTGCTTCTCCTGCAGTAGTCTGTCTCTGCCCTTCCCACAATAGAGAGATTTTCTCACAGCAATTTGTCTTTGATCCTCCTAGAATGCTAAAATTTCATAGCATAACAGTGGAGTTGGGGAGGACTGGGATTACTGATGGAGGTTTTTACCCTTCTACATTCTATCCAAAACTATGTAGAAAGGTATGTCTTAGAATTGGAAACTGCTATGTATGACTAACATTTTTCCTTTTATCTGACAGGTCAATTGTATACTTGGAAATAGATAATCGGCAATGTTTTCAGGCTTCATCTCAGTGCTTTAACAGCGCAACAGACGTAGCAGCTTTTCTTGGGGCCCTGGCTTCTCTTGGGAACCTAGACATCCCTTATAAGATTGAAGCTGTAAAAAGTAAGTGGGATACCAAAATAGATAAGGACGTATTCCATACTCTAAGTATAAGTCTGGTGACCTAAAATACTAAAACTTTCCTTTTTCTTTCTCCCAACTGAGTAAATAGTATACCTTTTTATGTTTCCTTTTTTTTTTTTTTTTTTTGGCTTCCCTAGATTTATATCAGGATCATTAATGCTTTAAGGGTGGGGGGGAGGAGAAGAGAAAAAATTGATCAATCGCATACATGAGGTGGTGGAAACGGTATCTCTAAAATCCCACTTAAATCCTCCGACTTAACAGCTCAATGAGAGCGCAGTGATATGAAGTTCATTAATCCGTTTTCTTAAAGGAGTAAAGCAAACCTGTCTCTTGATACTGCCTGCTGGGGCAAAAGAGAATTTTAACAGTAATTTGCAATTCTGATGAGTAAGAGAAAATAACATTATTTTTGGTTTTTTTTTTCTTCTGAAGAGTACTGCTTTTTTTTTTTTCTTTTATTAACAAATTCCCCTTCATTTTTCTTGTGTCTGCGGCATGAAATGCAGCTTTAATGTCTGTCTTACCAAGTTTGTCCTGTTTTCCTTCAGGTGAGACTGCACCTCCGCCACCCAGCTCTCCACTGTATCCTGGTTTGGTTGTTGGAGCCGTCGCCCTCCTGCTGATCTTCCTTGTGGCTGGGGTCATCGTGAACAAGAAGAGACGGCGAGAGCACGGACATCTCTGGTTCCCAGAGGGTTACACAGTGAAGGAGTCAAACAAGACAAAGAAACGCAGAGAGCCCCTTGGGGAAGATTCTGTGGGTTTAAAGTAAGTGAGAACATTTTTTTAATAAAGGGTGGGGAGGGGTGATATTGGTGGGAACAATTGTTTCTTGTCATTTAGAATCTGTTTATTTTGTCACTTTAATCTGTTAATATGACTACAGCATGTTGTCTAATTTTTGTTCCCTTGAACATTAAAGGCCTTTGAAGAACGGTGCAGATGGTTCACTGATGGATGACAATCAAAATGAGTGGGGTGATGAAGAAACGTTGGACAACAAGAGGTTCAGAGTAAGTGTTTCCTTAGACCTCTGCAGATGGTCCTAAGTGATTTTTGTTTACGGGGACATTACAATATACAGATATAGATATCAGAGTCAATATGATGTTTGTTAGAGGAAGTTTGTGTGTTTGATTATATTCATTTTGCATTGTTTTGCTGGTGTGTTCAGTCTTTGCATGATTGCTGGCTAGTTAAATCACATATTGGCTGTAATCATCACGGTAAGGTTTTCTTGCCATACATCTTCTCAATCACCGTGGCCATCACAAATGCAAATTATGGTTTCACCATCTCCTGAAGTATTCTCTGAAATATAGAACAAGCTTATAAGTGGGGAATACAGTAGTGTAAGAGCTATATTTTCCTTATGGGAGGGGCAGAGGCATAAACTACTGCAGGAAAATCTCCCCATTGTGGGAGGGGCAAACACAAACTACTAAAGGGGAATCTTACCATCATTGGAGGGGCAGACTCACAAACTACTGCAGAGAAATGCTGACATTTTAAGAGTGGCACAAACACAAAATACTGTGGGGAAATCTCACCATTGTGGGAGGGGAAAAGATTCAAACTACTGTAGGGAATTCTCAAGTCTCACCATTAAGGCAGAGCCAGAGACACAAACTGCCACAAGGAAATATTGTCATTGGAGTTCTTAAGAGCCAGAGTAAACTGGAGCTTCAACACAGCAGTTTCCACTTAAAAAGCCAGTTTTGAGTGTAGTTGGCCTTTTAAATAAATGCTAGCATTCTGGAAATGTGATGTCCTGTTAATCTGTGTTTTTGTTCTGCTAAGTTTGAAGATCAGGTGATGCTTCCAGACCTTGGTGATCAAACTGATCACAGACAATGGACCCAACAACATTTAGATGCAGCTGACCTCCGAGCACCTTCCATGGCACCCACACCACCACAGGGAGAAATCGATGCTGACTGTATGGACGTTAATGTGCGGGGACCAGGTATGATGACCATTCAGATGAAGTCTTTCCTCTTTATAGTATAAGGGATTCCAGTCCAAAGTAACTATTGGATTTGGTTGTCACTTGGTTTTTTGGCTAGTCCTACTGGTCCATTGCATGGCATATAGTTTATGTAACAATCTTAGGGTGAAATGCGAAGATAAAAGCTCTGGCAGCAATCTATAGGTAACTGTGTTTGTTAACCCATTTCAGATGGTTTCACACCACTCATGATAGCAGCATGCAGTGGAGGAGGCTTGGAAACTGGCAACAGTGAGGAGGATGAAGATGCCTCTGGTCAAATGATATCAGACTTCATTGGTCAGGGTGCCAACCTACATAGCCAAACTGACCGCACCGGAGAGACCGCACTCCACCTGGCCGCCCGATATGCTCGAGCTGACGCTGCCAAACGATTACTGGAATCCAGTGCAGATGCCAATGTCCAGGATTACATGGGGAGAACTCCTCTTCATGCCGCTGTAGCTGCAGATGCCCAAGGTGTATTCCAGGTATGATATTTTGTATTTCATAATGGCAGGTTTGATGTTAGGATTGATGTTAGGTGAGCATGCTGCACACGTCCAGAAACACTTTATCATTGTACACAGGATGTGTATAGCATGTCCAATGTCTCTGCCCTGTAGCTGAGACACCCCCTCCTAGTATACAGCAATTGTCAGCTTTGTTTCATTAAAGTCGGGATCACTGTATACTCAAAGAAGGTGTCAGCAGCTGCAGCTGTCTAAAAAGCAGTCTGCATCCTGTTCAACAACACTGCTCTACACAAGAATATAGAAAGATACAAAGTAACATAATGTTACTTCTGTATCATTTTGTTCGCTCATCTACAGATCAAAGGGATGTACTTCAATCTGCAGAGGTGTAACCTGTTATTAACCCTTGCTTTATGCTAATAAGCCCTAATTAACTCTTTATTCTCCATTTAATATTTTGCTGCTGATTCTTTTGGTTTCTATTTTTATTAACCATTATTATTTAAACTTTTTTGTTTGTTAATATTTTTACACATTTAACTTATATTTACTTGTTTCATATTTTAAAAAAAGCATGACATTTCATTTGTAAATAACCAAAATCCTAAATTTGGTGTCATTTTAAACAGGACAAATTCGAGAATAAAATGTGTACTTTTTATCTATAGTAACACTATTTTCAAAATAACACTGCTCAAAAAAGTGCATTTTGTTTAGTTTTGTTGTGTTTTATTGACCGATTATGAAAAAAATCATTGTTGCAAGACAATATCATGAAAAACAGCCTTGTTTCCCTTAAAAACAATATATGTATTACCTTGTAATCGTTAGTAATGACAGAGATACTGCTAAATAAACAAGTCCATAACAGAAATGTAAAAATTGCTCTGGTCCATAGGAGGTGAACAGGTGTGAGGGGCAAAGTGGTTTAAAAAAATAAGTGTGTTTTTCTGAGCACATGATCTGAGCTGCAATTGTCATAATTAACTGTGATTACTTAAAAGTAATCATTAATATGATATTTTTGTTTCCCATGGCCATGTTTTTCATGTTGAGATCTGAAGAGTCTCTCTGTGTATCGGGAATGAACGAACATAAATATGGAGGACCTGTTGTCATCAGTCACTCTAATCAGACTGGTAGACCTGCAGGGTGACAAATAGTAAAGTGAAATCACTGTGTAGCTCTGTGTAGGAACAGAACCTGCATATATAAAGCATAAATATGGCTGTCTCATGTTCACAAATAACTGAAAACAATTTTTTTTTCACTACAGTAAGACATTTTCTAATTTGTCTAATAGGTTTTCAAAAGTTTAGTATTCTTCTTAAAGGAAACCTGTAGAGAGAGCCGTATGAAATCTGTCATTGCTAAGTGCCTTCTGAAAAGCCAATTTCCTGGCTGTCTTTACTTTAATACCTTGAATGGGTGGGCAAGCATTGGTGCAAGGGAAGTTAGAACTTCCAAAAGGGCATACTTGTTTCAGATTCCTTACAGTGTTAAAGCCTGAAGGTCAGCATAACAGCCAAACAATTTGCATACCCCTCTTGTGGAATCATTGATGCTCAAGTCATTAATTTTTTTAATCTTCCTTTTTGTTGAACAGATTCTTATTCGGAACAGAGCAACAGACCTAGATGCCCGTATGTGTGATGGTACAACGCCATTGATCCTGGCAGCTCGCCTGGCAGTGGAAGGCATGGTTGAAGAACTTATCAACTCTCATGCTGATGTGAATGCAATTGATGAGTTAGGTAAGGATTTGGTGATCTGTGTCCTCTTTACATGCTGCAGTGCTCGCTTTGGTGCGTTTTGAGAAATATTAAAATCTGATTATTTTTTGTTTCAGGAAAATCTGCTTTGCACTGGGCCGCAGCCGTAAATAATGTGGATGCTGCAACAGTCTTGCTGAAAAAACGGTGCCAACAAGGACATGCAAAACAATAAGGTATTTAGGATGGACTGGCCCTTTAATTGTCATCCAATTTATTAACACATTGCAATTGTTTTTGTTTTCTTGTGATAAAGTGGTGCCTAACAAAAAAAAAAAAAAAAAGTTATGTAGTAAAACTGAAAAGTTTGAGTACATTTAAAGAAAAGAACTATCCAGCAGCCATGTTATTAACTTGAACTTTCCATTGTTGCAGGAGGAGACTCCGTTGTTCCTGGCTGCAAGAGAAGGAAGTTACCAAACTGCTCAGGTGTTGTTGGATCACTTTGCGAATAGAGACATCACTGACCATATGGACAGGCTTCCCCGTGACATCGCACTGGAACGCACGCATCATGACATTGTCCGGTTGCTGAATGATCACAACCTGGTGAGGAGTCCTCAAATGCATAACGGTCCACTGGGTGCTCCAAACTTGTCTCCTCCCATCTGTTCCCCAAATGGCTATGTTGGGAATATGAAACCAGCAGTACAAGGAAAGAAGAGTCGAAAACCTGGCACCAAGGCTCCTGGATGCAAAGATTCCAAAGATATGAAGGCCAGGAGGAAAAAGTCTCAGGATGGAAAAAATGGACTTCTGGATTCAGGAAGCTCTGGGGTGTTATCTCCAGTTGACTCGTTGGAGTCACCTCATGGGTATTTGTCAGATGTTTCTTCGCCTCCTCTGATGACTTCTCCATTTCAGCAGTCTCCATCAATGCCTCTTAACCACCTCGCCAACATGCCAGATTCTCATATTGGCCTCAATCACCTAAATTTGACTGCCAAGCAAGAAATGGCTGCTGGTTCCAACAGAATGGGTTTTGAGGCTATGGCACCCCGTCTTACGCATCTCTCGGTGTCCAGTCCCAGTGCTGTTCTAAACAGTGGTTCCATGCAGTTTACGGTGGGCGGTGCACCTGCCATGAATGGGCAGTGTGACTGGCTGACGAGGTTGCAGAATGGGATGGTAGCAAACCAGTACAATGCTATGAGGAGCAACCTCCAACAAGGCGGCCACCAACAAGCGTCAGCTCTTCAGCATGGCCTGATGACATCTTTACATAATGGTTTGCCGGCAGCTTTGACGCAGATGTTGACCTACCAAGCCATGCCGAACACAAGGATGACAAACCAGCCTCACCTTCTCCAAGCTCAGCAGATACAGCAAATTCAGCAACAGAATTTGCAGCTGCAGCAACAAAGTATGCAACAACAGCAACACAATCCAAACTCTGCGTCTGGCAGTCATATTGGTGCTCCTTTTTGTGGAGGTGATATGGCCCAGTCAGAAATGCAGCAGATGACAGGCAATGGCTTACATTCTATAATCCCCCAGGACACCCAAATAATAACTGGCTCACTGCCAGCGCCTCTTACGCAGTCTATGACAACCACTCAGTTCTTAACGCCACCATCTCAGCACAGTTACTCCTCCCCAATGGACAACACTCCAAACCACCAGTTACAGGTGCCCGATCACCCATTTTTGACACCATCTCCTGAATCACCTGACCAGTGGTCAAGTTCCTCCCCTCATTCCAATATGTCTGATTGGTCAGAAGGTATATCCAGTCCGCCTACAAATATTCAATCCCAACATAATCACATTCCAGAAGCTTTTAAATAAACTGCATAGACCAGAACCTTAAAGACAGGTGTGTTTTTTTTTTTTTTTTTACTTGGGCAAATTTAAGACACTGCGATAGACTGAAGGACATTTTTATACAGTTTTATATATAAAGAATTGAACAGTCGCAGCTTTTTTTCTTTTTATTTATTTGTGTTCTTTTTATTTGTGACACTGCCCTATTTTATTTATATATATTTTTCTTTTTTAATTTTGTAAAGAAAATTAACCTTTTTTTTTTTTATTTCAATTTTTAGGGTTTTATTATATACTTGCCTTAAAGTTTTTTAAAAAAAAAAATAGAAATTAGATTTTTTTTATTTTTTTTTTACTGGGCAGAAATTTTTAGCAAAGATTCCTGATATAAAAATATGGCTATTTATTTTGTGTTTTTTCCCATGAGTCGAACACAACATGACAAAGCAATATCTTGGACATATATACATAAATAAATATATAATAGAAAAGAGTGTACATGTTTATAAACTGTAGAAAATGTAACCATGTTTTCTTTGGCTATTGTGTTACCTATGAATATTTATCAACTTTTCCAGTATTATGGCAGGTTGTTAAGTAAACTAGAATGTATTTCAAATATTTTTCTCCTTTTTATAAATACAGAAAAAGTTGTTCTCAAAAAAAATGAAAATTATCTGATTACGTTTTGGACATGCTGCCAAGTAAAAAAAAAAAAAAAAAAAAAAAAAATAACATTTGCATCAGACAAGTTTGTCTGGTGGCCAAAATACATTTTCTGTTTTTATTTTATTGTAAATTGTAAAGAGCAAAGATAGCACAACTTGAAAGAAGGACTGAAACAGGTTGTGTTTGTCACCTTTTGTGAGTCATTGATTTGTTTTATGATGGGTGTCTAAAGGTTTGACATCATTTTCTCGAAGCTCTTGTCCCTCCAATTGGGGCTGGTGCCTCGGCAATACAAACACAAGACAAAGTGGTCTTTGGTACAAGCCTGTGGCATGAGAATTTCTGTACATATCTATGTTAGATTTTGTTTAAAAAATCTTTGTGAATGTCCTGATTTATATCACGTATCTGGTTGGATGTGCCCAACACCTCTGGATAGAAGGGGGGATGCCTGAAACCATTACTCCAGCCCTAAGACTTTTTAACCATCAGATGCTAATTTCAGCAAATGCTTTTTTAGGACTTAAACTGTGACAAGACCTTCAGTTGTGTCTTTTACACCGGAACAGTTTGGGACAACAAGTACAAATGCAAATATTAGCAACAGTTGTACTATGGCGATCTCTTCTACACGTCTGATGTGATATGTTGATAAGTATCAGGAGGACCAGGGGTCATATTGTATAAAGACAAAAAATAAAACTCTAGATTGTAGTGCGGAAAAAAAAAAACAAATGTATTTACCTGCAAAGTTGTAGTTTGCAAATACAATGTATTTTGTTTTAATATGCTTTGTAAACGGATGTTTGTTATAATAAAAACAATATAAAACAAAATGTAGAGATATGTATGCAGAGCTTTGCCTTACAAAAAAGGTATTCAAAGGCTTACTGTTCACCATGAATTTACTATACAGTGCAATAATGGAACAAAAGTAGTTAGCACTCTGAAACAGTAACCAAAAAAATTGCCTTTCCTCAGCAGGCATAAATACACAAAAAATGTGCATCTTCAAACATTTTCAAAGACGTTGATTCAATAGATTGCATACTCAATAACTTTTTGAGCCTACACAGGCTTTGATTAAAATAATTTAAAACCCCGTCACTAAAATCTTTAATCCATTAATATAATTTGAAAAGTCATTTTTGATATTTTTAGATCTGCTTTCATTAAAATTATACCAAGTGATCCTGCCATGAAGGTCCTTCTACGAGTCCTTGCTTTGTTATACACTTACAGGCCAAGATAATATCCCCCCACACCATTACACCACCAGCACCAGCCTGAACCGCTGATACAAGGCAGGATCGATCCATGCTTTCATGTTCTTTATACCAAATTCTGACCCTACCATTCAGCAACCTGCCCATTCTCCTCTGACATCAAGTCATTTTCATCCACATAACTGCCCCTCACTGGATATTTTTTTCTTTTTCAGACCATTCTTTGTAAACCCTAGAGATGGCTGTGCGTGAAAATCCCAGTAGATCAGTTTTTTAAATACTCAGACCAGCCTGTCTGGCACCAACAATCATGCCTAGTTCAAAGTCCCTTAAATCCCCTTTCTTCCCCATTCTGATGCTAGGTTTGAACTTCAACAAGTCGTCTTCAACACATCCAGTTGCCTAAATGTATTGTGTTGCTGCCATGTGATTGGCTGATTAGCAATTTGTGTTACCAAGCAATTGAGCAGGTGTACCTAATAAAATGTCCGGTGAGTGTAGGATATGAACACTCTGTCCTTGTCTTCTAATCGTGCTCCTTCATTGTCACCCTGACATACTGGCTCCTAGGGGAGACTACAAATGTCTGTTTCAAAACACATTATGCAGACATGGTTGTCACCATCAGAAAACCTTCCCTGTGAAATGCCAGGCTGCCATTGCTGGACTGCATGCAGATATAAATTGGCTGCCAGAGATCAGCATTAAAAAGATAAACAATGGTGAAAAGAGGTATTTGACAAAATTCAAATACATAAAGGAAATGTGGGGGTTGCATTGCGAAATTCTGAAAATGTTAGTCGACAGGTGGGCTTTCTTACTGGGGTTGATTTTCTAAAACTGTAGAGTGCAAAATCTGGTGCAGCTGTGCATGGTAACCAATCAGATTCTAACTTCAGCTTGTTCAATTAAGCTTTGACAAAAAAAAACTGGAAGCGGATTGGTTTCTACACAGAGCTTTTGCACTGTCCAGCTGTAGTAAATCAATCTCACAGAGTCACTGATCCAGAGCAAGTTTGCAGATCAGGACCTTTTTGTCATATCGTGGGCTTTTCCTTATTTTTGTAACTCTGGAAGTAATCAGGGTTGATGTATTATAACTGGAGAGTACAGCTGTACATGGTAGTCAGCCAGCTTCTAACTTCAGCTTGTTCAATTAATCTTTGACAAAAAAAAACTGGAAGCTGATTGGTCTCTGCAGAGCTACACGAGATTTTGCAGTCTCCAGTTTTAGTAAATCATCCCTATAGTGTCTGCATTAAAGGCTGGGCATCAAACACATTTTTTTTAACAAAGAGGCCAGCAACGGGAGCCCCATATTTCTCTCATGGCAAGTTTTTTATCCTTTAATCAAAAGCCAATAAAGCCTCAAAAAGGTGCTAAAAATGCATCTTGTCGCTCCTTAACCCCCTTGACGCCGACGTAACACAAATATGCAGCCTCACAGAACTGGGCTTTTTTCCGTGGGGCCGCATATTTGTGTACCTGTCTTTGTGCTGGGAGCGCGCCGCACAGCGCACTCCCAGCACAAAGACTGGGGTGTCACTGAGAGCCCCGGGTCCCGTTCTAACGATCGGGACCTGGGACTCCAGATTCAGGGTCACATGATCACGGTGATGGCCCCTGATTGGCTATCACAGTGATCAGTCACTGTACAGCCCAGCCGCCTTGTTTTTTTTTTTTTCTCTCTATGAATGGTGGAGAGAGATACATTGTATCTCTAACTCCTGGCATAAAGGGAAAAAAAATGTTTGTTAAAAAAAACACATAAATAAAGAATACATTAATAATAATAAAGAATAAATAAATATAAAAAATATTTAAAAAATAAAAAATGCCAGGATCAAGGTTTGATCTAGGTCAGGGTCAAAGGTCAGGATTTATTTAAAAAAAAAAATTGTATTGGTGTTGGACTAATTCATCCCAAAGGTGTACTGTTGGGTTGAAGTCAAGACTGAAGTGCAGGTCAGTCAAGTTCCTCCACCCCAAACTCACTCATCCATGTCTTTATGGATCTTGCTTTGTGCACTGATGGGCAGTCATGTTTGAACAGGAAGGGGATTTCCCCAAACTCTTCCCACAAAGTTGGGAGCATGAAATTGTCCAAAATGTTACCTTAAGAGTTCCCTTCACTGGAACTAAGGGGCCAAGCCTAACCCCTGAAAAATAATCCCCCCTCCACCAAACTTTACACCTGGCAGTTAGGCAAATACTGTTCTCCTGGCAACCACCAAACCCAGACATGTC